TTTGGTGTAGTTTATTTTAGTTTATTTTTGCTTTTGGTCTCTTGTCTCAGGAGATGTATCTAGAAAAATGTTGCTACAGCCGATGTCAGAGAAATTACCGCCTCTGTTCTCTTCTAGGATTTTTATGGTTTTGGGTCTCACATTTAGGTCCTTAAGCTGTTTTGAGTTTATTTTTGTGTATGGCATAAGAAAGTGGTCCAGTTTCATTCTTTTGCGTGTGGCTGTCCAGTTTTCCCAAAGGGGGCTATCCCTTTCCCCTGACATATTCTTGCCTCTTTGGCCAAAGGTTAATGGACCATATAGTCGTGGGTTTGTTTCTGGGCTTCGTGTGCTGTCCGGTTGATCTTTGCATCTGTTTTTGTGCCAGTACTAGACCGTTTTGGTGACAACAGCTCGGTAGTAGATCTTCAAATCTGGAAGTGTGATACCTTCCGCTTTGTTTTTCTTTTTCAAGATTGTCCTGGCTGTTTGGGGTCTCTTGTGGTTGCATCCCAATTTTACGATTCTTGGTTCTGGCTCTTTGAAAAATGCTGTTGATATTTTGATGGGAATTGCATTAAATCTGCAGATTGCTTTGGGCAATATGGACATTTTAATATTTGTTCCCCCACTCCACGAGCATGGGATAGCTTTCCATTTGTTTGTGACATATTCAGTTTCTTTCCTCAGTGTTTTATAATTTTCAGAGTGCAGGCCTCTCACCTCCTTGGTTAAGTTTATTCCTAGGTATTTTATTATTTTTGGTGTAATTGTAAATTGGATTTTTAAAAAAAATTTTCTTTGTGTTGCTTCATTCTTAATGTATAGAAATGCAGTGGATTTCTTTTTTTTTCTTGTTTTATTTTTTAATTTTTTTTCATTTCATTTTATTTTATTTCTTCTCAGTGTTCCAGAATTCATTGTTTATGCACTACACCCAGTGTTTCATGCAGTACGTGCCCTCCATAATACCCACCACCAGGCTCGCCCAACCCCCGACCCCCTCTTTTTTTTTTCTTAAGATTTTATTTATTTATTTGACAGAGAGAGAGAGAGACAGTGAGAGAGGGAATACAAGCAGGCAAAGCGGGAGAGGGAGAAGCAGGCCTCCTGCAGAGCAGGGAGCCTGGATGCGGGGCTTGATCCCAGGGTGCTGGGATCATGACCTGAGCTGATGGCAGAAGCCTAATGATGGAGCCACCCAGGCGCCCTGAAACGCAGTGGATTACTGTACATTGATTTTATATCCTGCAGGCTTACTGGATTCATTTATCAGTTCTAGTAGCTTTTTGGTGGCATCTTCAGGGTTTTTATATATAGTGTCATGTCATTTGCAGATTGTGAAAGTTTTACTTCCTTACCAGTTTGGCTGCCTTTTATTCCTTTCTCTTTTCTGATTGTTGTGGTTGTGACTTCCGGTGCTCTGTTGAATAATAGTGGTGACAGTGGACATCTTTGTCTTGATCCTGATCTTAGGTGAACGCTCTCAGTTTTTCCCCTTGGAGGGTGATGTTAGCTGTGGTTTTTCATCTATGACCTTTATTAGGTTGAGGTATGTTATCTCTTTATAAACCTACTTTGTTGAGGGTTTCTATTATGAATGTATGTTGTACTTCATCAAATGCTTTTTTTTGCCTTTATTAAGGTGATCATATGGTTTTTATCCTTTCTCTTCTGGATGTGATATATCCCATTAATTGATTTGCAAATATTGAACCACCTTTGCATCCCAGGAATAAATTCCGTTTGATTATGATGAATGATTTTTTTTTAATGTTGTTGGATTTTTTTGCTGAGCATTTTTGTATCTATGTTCGTCAGAGATACTGGCCTATAGTTCTCTTTTTTTGGTACTGTCTTTATCTGATTTTGGTATGAGGTAATGCTGGCCTTGTAGAATGAATTTGGAAGCTTTTCTTCCTCTTGTATTTACTTTTTTATTATTTTTAGGATTTTATTTATTTATTTGACAGAGATCACAAGTAGGCAGAGAGGCAGGCAGAGAGGCAGGCAGACAGAGAGGGGGAAGCAGGCTCCCCACTGAGCAGAGAGCCCCTGTGCCGGTCTCCGGACTCGATCCCTGTACCCTGAGGTCATGACTTGAGCCTAAGGAAGAGGCTTAACCCACTGAGTCACCCAGGTGCCCCTGTTTTTTTATTTTTTAAAGATTTTATTTGAGCGAGAGAGAGTGCACGTGCACACAGGCAGTGGGGAGAAGGCACAGGGTGAGGGAGAAGCAGACTCCCTGATGAGCAAGGAGCCCGATGCAGGGACTCCCAGGACCCTGGGATCATGACCCGAGCCAAAGACAGATGCTTAACTAAATGAGACACCCAGGCGCCCCTCTTCTATTTTTTTGTAACACTTTTTATTTTTTTAAATTTTATTTTATTTTTCAGTGTTCCAAAATTCATTGTTTATGTACCACACCATTTTTCTCCATTCCTCTCTTCTGCTCTCTTCTCTCATGATTAGTGGGCTTTCTTTATTATTATTTTTTTAATTTTTAAAAAGATTTTACTTATTTATTTGACAGAGAGAGATCACAAGTAGGCAGAGAGGCAGAGAGAGAGAGAGAGGGAGGAAGCAGGCTCCCCGTCGAGCAGAGAGCCCATGCAATATGTGCCCTCCACAATACCCACCACCAGGTTCACCCCCTCACCGTCCACCCCCCAAAAAACCCTCAGTTTGTCTCTCAGAGTCCACCGTCTCCCATGGTTTGTCTCCCCCTGTGATTTCCCCCAACTCACTTCTCTCCATCTCCCCATGTCCTCCATGTTACTCCTTTTGCTCCAGAAGTAAGCGAAACCATATGGTAATTGACTTTCTCTGCTTGATTTACTTCACTCAGCATAATCTCCTCCAGTCCCGTCCATGTTGATACAAAAGTTGGGTGTTCATCCTTTCTGATGGAGCCATAATATCCCATTGTATATATGGACCACATCTTCTTTATCCATTTGTCTGTTTAAGGGCATCTTGGCTCTTTCCACAGTTTGGCGATTGTGTCATTGCTGGTATGAAAAGAAGGTAGCCCTTCTTTTCACACATCTGTATCTTTGGGGTAAATACCCAGTAGTGAAATTGCAGGATCATAGGGAAGCTCTATATTTAATTTCTTTTTTTTTTTTTGAAGATTTTATTTATTTATTTGACAGAGATCACAGGTAGGCAGAGACTCAGGCAGAGAGAGAGGAAGGGAAGCAGGCCCCCTGCTGAGCAGAGAGCCACATGCGGGGCTCGATCCCAGGACCCTGGGATCATGACCTGAGCCGAAGGCAGAGGCTTAACCCACTGAGCCACTCAAAGCGCCCCTCAAAGATTTTAGACCATTGTGTTTTCATTTTCATATATATATTTTTAATTTCCTCTTTGATTTCTTGGTTGATCCATTCATTTTTCAGTAACATGTATTTGTGGTCTCCCCACGTTTTTTTTCTTGTTGATTGCTAGTTTCATAGTGTTGTCATCAGAAAAGATGCATGGGATGAATTTGATCTCTGACTTTGTCAAGACTTGTGCTGTGGCCTAATATGGGATCTATTCTAGAGAATGTTCCCTGTGCACTTGTAAAGAATGTGTATTCTACTGTTTTAGGATGGAGTGTTCCGAATAGATCTGTCAGATCTATCTGATCCACTGTGTCACTCAAAGCCACTGTTTCCTTGTTGATTTTCTGTTTGGAAGATCTGTCCATTGATGTAAGTGTGTTAATTATTATCAGTTACTTCCCTCACAGTGGTTATTAACTTGTGTAGTTGGGTGTGCCCATGTTGGATGTCCTTTATCTCTTTTTTACAGTCTTTGTTTGAAAGTCTGTTTTGTGCCATTTAAGTATTGCTGCCCTAGCTTTCTTTTCTTTTCACACCATTTGCATGATGAATGCTTCTCTACCCCTTCACTTTCAATCTGCATGTGTCTTTGCGCCTGAAATGAGTCTCTTGGAGGCCACATATACATGGCTCTTGTTTTCTTACCCATTCCATCACCGACTTTGTCTTCTGATTGGCGTATTCAGTCCAGTTACATTCAGAGTAATTATTGATGTGTGTGTATGTGTGGCCGTTTTATTACTTGTTTTATGGTTGTTCGTGTGGTTTTTCTCCATTCCTCTCTTCTGCTCTCTTCTCTCATGATTAGTGGGCTTTCTTTATTATTATTTTTTTAATTTTTAAAAAGATTTTACTTATTTATTTGACAGAGAGAGATCACAAGTAGGCAGAGAGGCAGAGAGAGAGAGAGAGGGAGGAAGCAGGCTCCCCGTCGAGCAGAGAGCCCGATGCGGGACTCGATCCCAGGACCCTGTGATCATGACCCAAGCTGAAGGCAGAGGCTCACCCCTCTGAGCCACCCAGGTGCCCCATTAGTGGGCTTTCTTTAATGATATACTTGGATTTCTCTCTCTGTTTTTTGCCTATCTTTTACTGGTTTGTGATTTGTGGTTACCGTTTAGTTCGTATGTAACAGCCTCTTCATGGAGCAGTCTGTACTAACTTGAAGGTCCCTTAAGTTTGAACCCATTCCTTGTTCTTTTCCTCCTCACATTTTAGATACATGGTGTCGTACTTTACATCCTTTTATTTTGTGAGTCACTTGACTGAGTTTTACTGATACTGAGTACTGATACTTTACTGAGTTTTACTGTGAGTTTTTACCACTTTTGTACTTTAGTCTGTTCCCAGCTAAGTTCACACACAAGGGTGTAGGGGAGGACCTGAGATGGATCCTTGGGGAGGACACAACTCGGGCTGCCACAGAGGGAAAGGATAGCGGAGCAGAGGACAGGGTGTGCCTCTGAGCGGGGAGGGGTGGTCTGGGAGCAAGAGGGTACTGGGGTGCAGAGGTTGACAGGGTTGAAGGGCTGAGGCCCCGGCTACAGCCGTAGTGGGAGGGACCGCCTGTGAGGCTTCTTTCCAAATGGAGTTGGTTGTTCTCGGGGCTGAGCCTCTGGCCATCACGCGCTTCCCCTGGGCTGTGTCGAGCCTTATAATTTACAACTTTTGTTTCCCTTTTTTAATCAGGAAACTACTTTGCCTCACACTTTTTCATGGGAGGTGAGAAATTTGACACCCCGCACCCTGAAGGTTACCTCTTTGGAGAAAACATGGATCTGAATTTCCTGGGCAATCGCCCAGTCCAGGTGGGTCCAGGTGGGTCTCACTGGGGCTAGGCACGGGGGTGGCAACGGTAAGGTGCCTCCCCTCCGCTGTCCATAGCCAGTTCAAGGACAAGCAGGCACGGAGCAGCCCCAGACGGGCAGAGCAGCTGGCGGGACGTGTGTGCGTGTGCGGGGGGCTTGTCCAGGCTGTGGGGCTCCCTCAGGTTCGCTTTCACTAGTCACTGGAGAATTGCACGCTTATCCATGCTGTCCATTTACTCAAAACACATTTGGCACCTGCTGTGTGCCTAGGCCTCTTCCACAGGCTGGGGGGATTGTGGGGGTGGAGGACAGATCCCACCCCATTCCCTGCAGGGGGTGTGGACAATGAAGAAGAGAACATTTCACAAATGGAGACTAAAGAGAGAGAAGGATGAGTGAGGGCTGGTGGGGTGGGGGCTGCCAAGCAGAGATTGGGTATTTTGTACTTTGAAATAACGGTCCCCCGTGTGGGTGAGGGGCCAGGCCGGAGGCCCTCTCTATCAGGAGACATTGGACTCTGTTCCCTAAGGCTGCTGAATCCTGGGATGTCCCTGGTCCTGTCCCCATCCCAGGTGGGATGTCCTCCGGACCAGGAGTCTTTAGGCTGTTCTACAGCAGAGCTGTAGATATGATATGAGATCTTGGTCCTTCAGTGGATGGGAGGCCAGAAGCCGGGGCCTGGTGTGCCGTGTGAGTGCCGTGTAAGCGCGGCTTTCGGGTGGTGCCGGGTCTCCCCTAGCCTCCCGAGTCCACGAGAGGAAGAAAGCAACCTCACTTCCATCTTTGGAGCCTCAGCTCACACGCAGGATCTGGCTCTTACAGACCTCCATAAATCCGTTATTTTTTAAACTTTGGAACCATCCTAGCCTCACCTGCCACGGTGAGAAGTGATGCAGAGAGATCCGTGTGCCCTCCGCTCTGTTTCCCCAGTGCCAACATCTGGTAAAGCTCCGGTGGGCTATTGCAGGCTGGAACTTTCCAGATGACTCCGTGTGTGTGTGTGTGTGTGTGTGTGTGTGTGTGTGCAAGTCCCCTCCAGAATCTTTCCTGACCACCATCCTTCCCCACCCCCTCACCGCCCCTGGGGTCCCTTGGGCCACCTTAAACGCTTGCCGAGGGTCCTCCCGGAACTGGAGGACCGTGGTGAGATCTGTGGGGCCACAGTTCTCCAGGGTGGCCTGGCCCCTGCTCCCTCGCTCCTTGGCTGCACTGCCCATGGTTTCCTTCATGAACGAGCACAAGGGCCGGGGAGTCGGACGTGACTGTTGCTTCGATTATCCCTGTTTTCTGTCCCTGACACACCTTAGGGAGTCACTGGGCATTGCTTTGGGTTTTTCCCTCCTAGTTTCCATACGTCACCCCCGCCCCCCATGAGCCAGTGAAGACACTCAGGAGCCTGGTGAACATCCGGAAGGACTCCCTGCGGCTTGTGAGGTAAGGCTGCGTCCCGCCCTGCTCTGTGGCCCCTAGTGCCCGGGATGGGGGGCAGCGGCGAGCGACCTTGGGCTCTGCTAACCTCGGGTGTTGAGCCCCAGAATTGCTCCTGGGGTGTGGGTGCAGCGGGAGAGGCCAGCAGGGCCCTGCTGGTGGAGCTTTCGTCTTTGAACCAGGGCTTCTCAGCCGACAGCTGGCCCGTGTCTGCTGTCACAGCTCGGGGGTCAGTGCTCTGGCTCCGTGGGGGCCAGAGGCCAGAGATGCTGCTCAGCCCCTGCAGTGCATGGGGCAGCCCCGTAGCCAGGACTGAGCCAGTGTCCAGCATCAGTGGGCTGAGATGCTGCTTTAGACCTGGAAGGCTTGAAGCATCCGGGGCTGTCTCCAGCTGGGACGACTCCTCCCTTCCTGTGGGCTGGAGGCGAGGGAAGGACAGCGCTGCGGTGTTGGCCCTCATTGCCCCCAGGGAGCGGGCCCCCACATTTCCAGGTGGCCACCACTGAGCGCCCCTGGGGTGGGGACATGTGTGCCGCGCAGGGTGGGGACACTTGGGCACAGCCCCTGACCTGCCGCCTGTCCCTCTGCCTCCCGGGCAGGTACAAAGATGGTGCTGACAGCCCTTCAGAGGACAGTGAGAAGCCCCGAGTCCTCTACAGCCTGGAGTTCACCTTTGACGCCGACGCCCGGGTGGCCATCACCATCTACTGCCAGGCGGTGGAGGAATTCCTGAACGGGATGGCAGTGTGAGTGTCCGCACCCGGGGCAGCGCGGCGGCCCGGCCGCTGTGCTTCTGTGTCCAAGTTGTGTGCTTGAGCTTTCGGAGGGTTTATTTGCAATAAGGGTCCTACTGGCGTCACAGGTTTGAAATCTGCAACTTCAGCAGCACCAGAGACTGGGACAGACCAGCGAAAATGTGCCTGCTTTGGCCCTGTTGGGGAAAGCCACCGGAGGGCCTGATTGGCTCTGGGATTGGGGCTCAGGCTTCAGGTGCTGGCCCTGCCCTGCACCCGCCAAGCAGCTCCTGGCATGGGACCGCCTGTGCCTCAGTTTCCTGAGCTGGGGGTAGGAGTGGCTGGAGCGGCCGTCTTGTACTTGGTGTAAGGACGTTGCTGCTGCTACTGGAGAAAACGCAGAGGTGGGGGTTGGTGGGGGGCAGCCCCTGCAGGGAGTGAATGCTTTGTCCTCCATGGGGCTCACGGGGCTTGGGGTCTGGGCCCCTGAGGGGCTGCCCTTACCACCCCCCATTTTCTTACCCATCCCCCACTCGTACCCTCCCTGGCAGCAACCAGAGGACAAGGTTCCTTTTCCTGTACTTCCTTCTTTGAGGCTCTACACTGACCCAAACATTGGATTACTTTAGTTTTTTCAGTGATGCAAGCCATTAAAAATGTGTTCTTACCATAAGCCAAGAATGAGAAGATCCAGGAGTATCTGGGGGCCTTCCCCCCCAGAGGTGAGCACAATGGCTTGCGGGTGCTGTTGCTGATGTCGCCATTCGGGTCCCTCTGTGGCCCTCCTGGTGCCCTGTGGGCTCTTTCCTTGTGACTCTGCCTGCCTGATCTTTGTCCTCAGCCATGGTCACCTGCTCTGGCCCCTGACTAGGAGGTGGGAGGACCCATGTGGGAGGGCCACAGTGCCCCAGATGTTGGATGAGGCTTCCATGTTCTCTCCTTTCTGCTCATTTGCCTGCCACAGTGGAGAAGTCCTGGCTAGTGGGGTGAGGTCTGAGGGCTGCCACAGAGAGGGGGACCTGGCAAGCAGCCCACCCACCCCACACTCCAGCTTTTGTGTGTGTCACACTTGGGCACAGTAAGAGGTGTTATATGCTTGAGAAGAGGGTCTGTTGCTCACAGAAGGACAGTAGACGCATGAGCAAAGGGCATAGTTGCCCCTGGAGCCTGTGTCTTGGACCCCTGGGGGACTCCTCCCCTTAGGGGAAGAAATGCTGCTCTGTCCTTTTCCTGATAGCTGGCAGGAGTGGCTGGGGGCCTGCTTCCCTTTGGAGTTTGCTGGTATTTAGTGGTGTGAGCTCAGAAGTCACCAAAACAAAGAGAAGCAGCTTTGTTCCAGGACCCAGAAGCCTGTCCCCAGGGACCTTTACCTTAGCCTGGGAATTCTCTTTGCATTCCCTGATCGCCTCCCTGCTTCCTGACAGGCAAGAAGGGGTGCAGATCTGAGGTCCCAGAGAAAAGCCTAGGGTTGAATGGCAGTAGAGTCCTAGCCTGTATCTTTACCACCGGCTGAGGCCTGGCTTCTCACAGGGAAAAAAGGGCCTCTGGCCTCTGGCAGGCAGAGGAGCCCCCCTCCCCCCTCTCGGGGCATACAAGAACGGCTCCCCCACCAGCCACCAGCGTCTCAGGCTTTCCAGAGTGTCTTTTGTCTAAGAGACTGAGAAATGGCCTCAGGAATGGCGGGCGTGGAGCAGGCAGAGCAAGCTTTGTCAGGGTTGTGTGTCCGAATCGGGATCAGGAATGGGGAGAAGCCAGAGTTGGTCAGAATGGAAACTGTGAGCGCCCTTTGACCCCATTGTTCCTTCTCTGGGAAGGTGCATGTGTGTGCGGCTGGGGTGGATGTAGAAGAGGGTCCTGGAGGCCTTGTGTGCAACAGTGGGGTGTTGGGGACCATCTGGTGTTCACCCCGCACTGAAGACCTCACCGTGTTCGCAGAGCACGGGCCTCTGCATGTGACAGTCAGGGGACAGCGCCGGGACTGACCATAGTGAGGGAGTTGTGGGCCAACTGGCCCTTGAACATGGGAGAGCAGACGCCTGTGCCTTCCGGCGTGGGTTGTGGGTGACGCAGAGATGCAGGCGGCAGACAGTGCGCGTGAGGGTGGGCTGTGGGGCAGGCCGCCCGCAGCGTACGTGTCTGTACCGTGTTTGTGCAGCAGAGGAGACACGTCAGAGAAGCCAAATGGAAAGGTGTAGTTGGGTCTGGAAAGGCAGTTAGTTACTGGGCAGCTGTGGGCTCTAGAGGACTTGTCACCAGGCAGGCTCCAGGCAGAGCTGGCGATGAGCAGAATGAGGCCGCCGAAGCTGGTGGCAGGCTGAGGGCCCCAGCCCGCCAGAGGACGGTTGGCACTTGCAGGAGGAGAAGGAAAGTGTGGGTCCTGCATGTCCTATTTCCGCTGGGTCCCGAAAGCCTGGTTCCTGCCAGCCCCCATGTCAGAGGCCCCTGTGCTCCAGGGTAGGGGGTTGCGGCCTGAGGACCAGACACAGCAGACCGTGTGCTCTCAGCCGAGGGTCAGCAGCCTTTCTGCCCCTTCAGGTACAGCCCCAAGAGCCCCGCCCTGCAGTCCGAGACCGCCCACTACAAGAGAGGGGTGAGCCAGCAGTTCTCCCTGCCCTCCTTCAAGATCGACTTCTCCGAGTGGAAGGATGATGAGGTAAGCTTCTGGGCAGGCCCCTCTGGCCCTGGCCCTGGCCCCGGCCCCTTTCTGGAATTCCCTGCCCCTTGTGGCAGGGGACGAACCCCTCGGGGCCTGTGTGCTCAGATTCCTCATGTGGGTGATACGCATCAGGAGTGGCTGCTGCCCTGGGTCCCTGTGCTCTGTCGGGCGTGTGCCAGACCCAAGAGTGGCGTTCAAGTCACGTGTCAGCACAGCTACAGGCTGCGGTACCCGGCTTTGGTGCCTTGTTGGGGCCACAGGACTGCAGCGCGGCGGAACCCTTCCACCCTGTGGTTCCGTAGCTGGGGTCGGTAATTTACATCATGTGAGGGATGGGGATGGAAGCTTTGTAGTAGCAGAAAAATGGAAACAGTCTGTGTGTCTGTGATTGCTTGTTCACCGAGGTTGTGGGAGCCATCGGTCTGCATGATACAGGCACCCCGGCTCACCTCTGTAACAGATGTCCTATCTTGGGATAGGACAGAGTTCTAGAACACACGCGTGCACACGCATATACAGGCTGTACGTGAACGGTGTGTGTGCCAGCACTGGATTCATGTCTGAATTGTTTGAGCAGGTCTGTTAAGATGTAATTTACATGCCATGATCACCACAATCCAGTTCTCGAACATTTCCATCCTTCCAGTAGATCCCTCATGCCCATGCATAGTTCATCCCTGTTCCTAGCCCCAGCCCCTACATTACTCTACTTTCTGGATGGATTTGGCATTTCTGGGTTGTTTTATATAAATGGAGTCATACAATATGTGGCCTTTTGTGTCAGGCGGCTCTCGTTTAGCGGAATTCTGTAGTTTTTTTTAAAGACGGCAGTTGTAAATCACTAAAATAAATCGGGGGGAAGGAACAGGGCAGTGGGGCATGGGTGGCGTAGGAATTGGGCAGGAAGGTTGGGGCTGGCGGACGGTGTCAGAAGGGGAAGGCCGCACCATGGTGTTTGCTCTCGGCTGTGTGTGTGCTTGTCAGGGTGCTTTGATGGCAAAGCAGCAGGAGCTGCTGTTGTGTCGCTGGAAGAAGGATGGGGCCACTGGAGCCTCGCCCCCAGCCCCATTCCGTCAGGTCCATCCCTGCGTGTCCACACTCCCGGTTGGGGTACCCAGCAAGTGCCTGTGGTCCTGCCCACCCTCCTGTGAAAGGGGGAAAGCCTCTCCCCAAAGAAAGGAGGGGGCTGGGTAGGCAGAGGGGGTTGGGCAGACAAGTGGGTACCCCCACCCTGTGGTCGCCTGTGGGGAGGGTTGGGCTCAGGCTGCACCTCACTTTGGTGACCTCTGCTTGTAGGGCAGTTCCTTGGCTTTTCAGCCGCAGGACACATCCTTGCATGTTTGCAGATGTGCTGAGTCAGGTGGACAGTTTGGGTTCCAGACTCCTGGTGAGGTCATTTGTCCTGGGGGCACACTTGGCTCATTAAACCAGTTTGAAGTGCCACATGGGGGGACCCCCTTTCCTCCCTTGGAGCAGCAGGGGCCCACATTGCAGCTTGTCAGCGTGTGGCACGGTGGACATGGTGGGGGTGGTGGCAGGTGCAGAGGGTGTGGTGGGCAGCCACGTGGGCCTGTCTCACGTGGACTTATCCCAGGACCCCTTCCTCATCTTCACCTTCTCGGATTATGTCCTCAGGTCCTCAGCTAATGTGTTCTCAGATCAGCTCACTTTTTTTTTTTTGGAAGATGTTTGTATGTATGTATGTATTTGACAAAGAGAGCACAAGCAGGGGTAGCGGCAGGGAGAGGCAGAGAGAGAAGCAGGCTCCTCTTGGAGCAGGGAGCCTGACATAGGGCTCAATCCCAAGACCTGGAGATCATGACCTAAGCTGAAGGCCCACACTTAACCATCTGAGCCACCCAGGTGCCCCACAGTTAGCCCTTTATTTTATTTTATTTTTTTCAATTTATTTATTTGAAAGAGAGAGAGAGTGAGAGAGAGAAAGCATGAGAAGGGGAGGGTCAGAGGGAGCCCGACGCGGACTCGATCCTGGTACTCCAGGATCATGACCTGAGCCGAAGGCAGTCATCTAACTGCCTGAGCCACCCGGATGCCCCCCAGTTAGTTCTTTTAAAGTGTACAGTTCAGTGATATTTACCAGATAGATGGTCCTCGACTTAAGATGGTTTATCTTTGATTTTTCAGCTTCACGCTGGCACAAAAGTGATACACACTTGGTCAAAATCATACTTTGAATTTTGGAGTACGGGCTCCCGCCAGGCTAGCGATCTGTAGCTCGGTCCTCTTTGGTGGTGTGGGCGGCCGGAGCCGCAGCTCCTGGTCAGCCACGCTGTCAAGAGGGGAAATGACCAGAGACGGCCAACGGACTGACTGCCATTCTGTTTCCCTCCCTCGGCGCAGGACTCAGTGTATCACACGAGCTACTCAGTGCTTCCCAGTGCAGCAGGCTCTGTGGGCGGCTGATGGAAGCGAGCGCGGGAAGTGCAATTCCGGCCTCTGGTATTTTCAGCTTGCGAGGGGCTTCTCAAGCCGAAACCCTATCGTAAGCTGAAGAGGGTCTGTATTCAGAGTGGTGCAGCCATCAGCACTGTCCAACTGCGGGACGATTTTGTCACCCCCACAAGAAATACTGTGCCTGCCAGCAGGCCCTCCCCGTGCCTCCCCTCAGCCCCCGACAGCCGCTCGTCATTCTGCATTGGCCTGTTCAGACGTTTCATATAAGCAGATGCGTACAGTGTGTGACCTTTTGTGCCTGGCTTCTGTCCCCGAGCACCATGTCTTCACCCACGTGGTAGCAGCTGTCAGTACTTTGTTCCTTCCTGTGGCCCATAATACCCCTGGTGTGGCTGGACCATGTTTTATCTGTTCATCTGTGGATGTGGATGGGCGTTTAGGTTGTCTCCAGCTTTGGGAGACAAACGGACAATGCTATACAAATTTGTGTGTGGATGTATGTTTTCATTTCTCTTGGCTGTGGCTTGCTTTTTAATTTACTTTAATTTACTTTAATTTAATTTAATTTAATTATTTTTGGGGGGTGCCTGGGTGGCTCAGTCAATTAAGCATCTGTCTTTTGCTCAGGTTATGATCCTAAGGTCCTGGGATCGAGCCCCACGTTGTGCTCCCTGCTCAGCGGGGAGTCTGCTTCTCCCTCTCCACTCTGTCCCCATCCCCTGTTCATGCTTGTTCACTCTCAAAGTATTTTTAAAATAATTTATTTTATTATTATTTTTTAAAGATTTTAATTTATTTATTTGACACAAAGAGAGAGATCACAAATAGGCAAAGCAGCAGGCAGAGAGAGAGGGGGAAGCAGGTTTCCCGCTGAGCAGAGAGCCCGATGCGGGGCTCGATCCCAGGACCCTGAGATCATGACCTGAGCCGAAGGCAGAGGCTTTAACCCACTGAGCCACCCAGGTGCCAATTTTTTTTTTTAAGACTTTTTTAAGACAGGTTCATAGCACAATTAAGAGGAAGGCATGGAGATTTCCCATATTCCCCCGTCCCCACTCATGCATAACTTTGTTTACTGAATCATATTGTGGACGTCTTAGAGATGGCCTGGTGGCCGGAGTGGCTTCTTTGCTGGCTTTCCCTTCCATTTCCCTCGGGCTTCCATTCATTTCAGTGAGAGCCACATCCCTGCTCTTCCGCCCTTTGCTTTACCTCTATTTCCCGGTGTCCATCTGGCCCGGGGCTTGCAAAGACCCTTGTCTGGAAGCTCCTGTGCAGTGGGCGAGCCCGAGGTGTCGTGGGGCGAGGCTCCCACCCGTGCTTGTGTTGTGGAAGAGGCCTGAGCTCGAGAGCCCGGTGTGGCCCCTCCCGGTGTCCGCTGCCCGGCTCTCCACTGACCGGGATGGCCGCTCTTTCCTAAGAGAAGTCTCTCTTCCTGCGTTAAAAATAAACGTCTCCCTCAGACGCGGGTGGGTGGGAGTCTCTGCCCTCCCCCTCCCCGCCGCTGCGTACTCAGCTCCAGGGAGTGAGTCGGGTGCAGAGTTCTGGGGAACAGCACTTTAGGGGAGATGGTTCTCGCCCCTGAGTCCCCACACTCCCCAGTCCCTCCCGTGTGACATGGCCACAGCCCTGGCGATGGCAGCACAGGACAGGTATCCAGCTGGCGGGTGGGGGCGGCCGCTCCTCCTGTGGAGGGTTGTCGTGGCCGGGCATTCGAGGGGCGCGGGGCGCGGGCCCGGGTGCCAGGGAGAGCCGGGGCCCTGTGTCCCTTCATTTCCGTCGCGGTCTTCTGGCCCCAGCCTGCGCTGGCCAGGGCAGGTCTTCTCTCAGGCCTCGCTGAGTCCGTGGAAGGAGTGCCGAGCGTCGGTTGCCACTCTGGGCTCCGTGGACGCAGTCGCCGAGCTGAGTGCTTGTAGGGGGCGCGGTGGACCTGCTGCCGCGGAGCCTTCGGACGGTATCTGCGGCAGGACTGTTTCAGTTGAGCGGCGGAAACATAGCTCAGTCTGACCTCAGAGAGGAAGACGGCGTCTGTCCATTGTGTGCCCCGTGGGGCCGTGAGCCCAGAGAGGAGGGCGGGGGTCACTGGCTGCTGGTGGGGTCACCATACAGGTCTCTTCAGACCAGCGGAACACGACTGGCTGTGGGTGCTCGGGCCGCACTCGGTGTGCGAGGGAGGACAGCGCTGGTCACCCCGGCTCCGCAGAGCACGGAGCTGCTTGTTGAGCACCTGGCCTCCAGGAGGTCAGGGCTTTTGTTCCAGAAACTGACCCAACGTGCGGGGGCGAGCGGGCTGTGTGTTCAGGGCTCTGCTCCCCATCGGGCTCTTACCTGAACGCTCCCCTTCCTCGGCGTACTTCGAACCTCGTAAGGGCAGCACCTGAACGTCACCCAGCGTCTGCGTCACCAAGATAACTCAGGATGGTCGCGGCCCTGTGCCCTGACTCAGGGTGGGAAGGGCAGGTACAGGCTTGCAGAGGGGCCCTTGTCCCATGGATAGCTGTGGGTGACCTGTATCTCCTGTCTCACATGATCACCTCCTCCACCCCACATGGGTCACCCCAGAGCAAGGGAGGCCTTGCAGAGAGGCCCCCCTCCTTTAAAGTCTGAATATCTGTGATATAGGCCTCTCCTCTGAGGCTGCAGCGAGCATGAGGCCTGGCTGAGTACTGGGGGGGCCTGAACACGTCCTCCACCTCCCTGCCTGCAGCTGGTGTGCATTTGGGCCCCCAGGGGCCTGTGTGCCTGGGAGTCTGTGCCCTGTGTCGCTCCGTGAGGTCCTCTGGGGCTACGTTCCTCCTCAGCTCCTGCTGCCTGAACATTCGAGGCTTTGCATGGCTGGTGTTCGCTGTGTGTTTTCTCAGCTGCCCCATGCACCAGACACAGCTTTTAGCCCTGTGTTACAGATGGGGAAACTGAGGCTCAGGTGGTAGAGTCAGACTCGATTCCAGTACCTGGTTCCTCCGAGTCCTGTCTCCCCCTGACAGTCTGGGACCCACAGGCTCCTTGTTGGCCTCCCCTTGCAACCCTGCCTGGGGTGTCCTCAGCTGGTCGCCTCTGTCCTGTGGGTCCTGGTCTGTGGCTTCTGCTGGTGAGCAGATGTGGAGGCTACGTGTGTGGGGAGGAGAGTGGCCTTTGGCCAGGGAGCCAGGGAGAAGGAAAAGTGAGGGGGATGGTGTCTCCTTGAGCTCAGTTGCATGCCACACTGTGGCCCCTTTCCTTCTGCCCTTCATGGGGACAAGCCAGGCACTTTCTTTACAAGGCTGAACACCGTTTGCCCGGGACTCAGACGCTGTTGCTGGTGTGTGTGGCATCCAGAAGGGGGACAGCCCCGGTGTAGCAGGCAAATGGGTGAGCAGGGTCTGGCCGCGCAGTGGAGGAGTACTCAGCCCAGGGAGAAAGCACTGACGCCCGTGCAGCGTGCGCGAGCCTCGTAAACGTGGTGCTCGGTGAACGAGCCAGGTGGGAGAGATCCGTGCTGTGACGTCCCACTTCTGTGAAAGGTGCAGACCAGGCAAATCCGTGGGTGCACAGTCGAGTGGGGCTTACCCAGTGGGGAGGGCGCATGGTCGTGGGGACAGGGCTCCGTTGGGATGATGAGAGCGCTCTGGAAGTGGACGGTGGTCGTGGTTAACGTGGCCTTACAGATGCACTTATTGCTACTGAGTTACATGACTTTGCCAACTCAATCATTTTTTATGTTTTGCCAAAACGGAAAAGAGGTACGCAGCTGTCTTCCGTGGCCATTTTGTCTGTCTTCGTGAGCTCTGCCGCGTCACCTCCTGCTCACGGCGCCTCCCCGCTCCAGCTCAGTCTGACTGTCCTCCCCTCCTTTTCTCCTCAGCTGAACTTCGACCTGGACCGGGGCGTGTTTCCAGTGGTCATCCAGGCCGTGGTGGATGAAGGAGATGGTGAGCGGCCCTTCTCCGTCCCTCTTCCTTCCGGGCTGTGGACCCTTCTCACCACAGTCTGCAGGGAGTTTATTCCAGAAGTGATGAAAGACGTTGGCTCAGCCCGCTTAGCGCATTTAGGGCCATGGGGTTTAAGCCCCAAACTGTCTGTTTTGGGGCTGGGCTGCAGGGCCCTCTCTTCAGCTCCTTCTCCTGACTCAGGAATTGCCAGCTGCCTGGCTCCCGCTGCGGTGACAGCAGCTAGCCAGGCCTCGGATTCTGGCGTCCACGCTCAGCGGCATGACAGAAAACAGCGGAGAGGGCATGGAGCGGGGCGGGCCCGTGCTGTGGGCTGTCAGCGAGGCAGGCTGACATGGGAGCATGGGAGCGCCGAGTCCTGGTTTCTAAGCCGTGTCGGAATGTTCCTCCGTGCAGAGCCAGCAGGGGGCATTTTGAGGTGACTTTGGGGGAGGAATGGCTGGCAGGAGCAGCAGGCCCCCCAGGCAGAGGGAGGCAAGATGAGGACAATCCTCCCATGGGTTTTGGGCTCCAAAACACCCGCTAGGAAGAGCATAGGGAAGCTCCCGCTAAGAAGCAGAAGTTCAGGGTGGGGGACAGAGGAGGGGTTGAGGCCAGCTCTGACCATTCCCTTCTCTCTCTCCCGGGCAGTTGTGGAAGTGACTGGCCATGCCCATGTGCTCTTGGCCGCCTTTGAAAAGGTAAGTGCCATCCTGCCCCTTACTGTGCCTGTGACCAGGGAGCATGGGTAGAAGGACGGTGTTCTGAGACTAGAAGTCTGAACTCGGGGTCTGGGCTTGACCACATGGGCTTCGTGTCAGAGGCTCGGAGCAGATGGGAGGCCTTCTGGTTCCTCTGGGCTCGGGGAGGCCGGGCCTCGAGGTAGCATCACCTTTGGGTTTTTGAAGGGCATGCGATGTATGGTGAGGGGGTGTGTTTTAGGGGGCCAGCCCCTTGGGAACGCCCTCTGACCTGCCCGCATGGACCTGGACACCCATGTGGAGGGCTGTCACCACAGACCAGCTTTTCTCTGGGATGTGCTGGGATCACCCAGGTTACCACCTCTCAGGACCCCTACCTTCCCCACCAGGCCCACTGGAACCTCCCAGCCTGGCCTGATCCTCACAGGTGTGTTCTGCCCTGCCTCCAAGTAGCTGTGTCACCCGGTGCCACAGGCCTACGTTGACCTCACTCCCCACTGGGGCCTTTCAGACTTCAGGGGCAGACACTTTAGGTACTTACTTCTCCTGTGTTGTGAGGAGGGAACTGGGCCCCTTGTTTGTTGTGTCCTTGGTGTGCAGTAGATGCTCAGTGAACCAATTGCTAGGGGTCTGCCACTTTTCTAGTGTGGCTCTAGACCCTCTCTGGTGGCAGAGAAAAGACGTCCAGGTCCTCCTGGAGTCCTTGCCCTGTGGGTGCCTCATGTATAAAGAGACCATTTACATGTAAGCATTCACTTAGTATTACAGTCCGCCTGATGTGTATTTGAACTTCGAGGTTTGCCCCTTTCTTCCACGCAGACCCGAGTCCCCAGTCTCCCCAGCTGTTCGTGTTTTGTGGCCACATTATGTAGGGTGCAGTGGGGAGAGAATGGTCAGTCTCACCATGGTTTCTGCATGAGGCTGTCGTGGGCTCTAGGGATGGTTCTGGTTACCTGTCAATGCTGTTCGTGGGGCCCAAGCAGTTGTGTGTATGTGTTCATGTAGCAGGCAAGTGCCTGGCTGTGTTGGGAGGAGATCCCTGCTCACCGAGACCCTTGCTGGAGGTAGTGGGCGCGTTCCCTGTTGGAGAATGTCATGACAGATGTCCCCCACCCCCAGGGCTCTTTGACATTGGCCCACACCCTGCAGTGGTAAAGTGTTTCTGGCACCAGCCTGTGGCCTGGGTAGACAAGGACCAGGGACCCCCATGAGGAAACCAGACTCAGGTTGCTGTTTCTGGACTTTGCACCCCATGCAGACCCCCAGCTTCCTCAGCCCATTGTGTGTCTGCGGCCTTGAGAGGTTGAGGGCAGCGCCCAGCTCCTCCCAGTGATCTGGTCTTTCCAGACTCCCTGGGTAGTTAGGACAGCTGGGCCCAAGGCCCTGTGGCCCATTTGTCCTGTGTTCCCCTGGGCCCCTGGGGCTGTGGTGGCACGGGGCGCCTAGGCCAGAGGGTGGGCCTCTCCCTCACCAGCTGCGCTCCCCAAGCCTGGCCTTGTCGGAAGAGATGGTGGCTGTTGGTTGTGTCTCTGGTGGGCCGGGTGGGCTGTCGATGGCCGGCTCCATCGGGACCTCTAGTTTAGAGTGCAAGGAGAGGCTGTTTTCCTTCTGGACTCCGTTGCACTGCAGATGCCACGTGCTGGTCTCTGTGGATTACGAGGGGTAACTGGCCTTGTCACAAGATCTCAGGTCTTCACTAACCTCGACTTCTGGGTGGTGTGTTTCCCCAGATGCTACCAAACACCCTCCTTAGTTCTTAAGAGTATTTAGGGTTTGGGGCTTTTCTGTACACGTATGTGTGTGCACGTTTGTCTTCTGAACGAAGCCAAGCCCTTTCTGGATTAGAAGTGGGCTGTGCGAGTTCTTGCCGTCCAGGTGCTGCTGCTTGCTGCTGGGGGCTCTGGGCTGTTGTCAGAACTTGCCTGATGGTCGTAAACCTGAGTGTGCTTGACCCCTGCCCGGGGAGCTGGGAGGACCCAGGAGGTAGTTCTCCAGGTAGTTTCGAGGCCCAGTCGGAGGCCCCCATTTGGAGAGACCTGGCCGGGCTCCGTCCTTCAGCGGTGGAAGTGGAACGGCCAAGGAAGGGCCTTCAGCTTGCCGCTGGGAGTGGCGCAGCGTGACTGAGTTAACCTGTCTGTCTTCCCTGTAGCATGTCGACGGCAGCTTCTCTGTGAAACCTTTAAAGCAGAAGCAAATTGTAAGTCTGGTAGAAGTATCATGGCCCCTTTTGATTTAAAAGACACATAAACTCCCACTCTCCGGAGGGATCCTCTGGGCTCTGGGAAGTCTGGTCTACTGCATCGGGTGTGTGTGTGCCCCCACCAAGTTGCAGTGTTGACTTGTAGCCCCACGCTGTGTCTGGCTTGATAAGGTCTGTTTGCGTCCATAGGGCTACTTCTGAACATACCACTTCTGAACATATTGTGAGGTCTGACTCTGGTCACTCTTGTGTGGCTGGTGATGGGTGGGTCCAAAGTGTTTTTGTCTGGGGAGGGGGATGGTAAGGTGGGCACAGGGTACGGTTGCCTGACCTGTATACAAGTTGGCTCCATGCCCCCTGGTGAGCAGAACCACTGGATTCCCCCCTGCCCCCCACCACCACATGGCCCCGGGTACTGGATGGGTTGGGCAGGAAGCAGGTTCTCTGCTATTCTCCTAGCACTGGGCCTACTCCCTGAGGAGCAGGTGGACAGAATTTCAAACCACACCTGCTCTGGACCCGAGCCCAGCCCCTGGGAAGTGGTGTTGGGCCAGGTGGGTGCAGCGGAGCCCTTGAGTGGGAGCTGGCAGGTGCCCAGATTCCTGTCTGTTCTGCAGGTGGACCGGGTCAGCTACCTGCTGCAGGAGATCTACGGCATCGAGAACAAGAACAACCAGGAGACAAAGGTACGCGCTTAGGCTGACATTTGCTGGGACTGCAGGAGGACTTCACTCCCCAGCTTCCTTTCCACCTGCATGGAAGATGACTCCCAGAGGGGCTTGCCCCCGGCCCGCCCCCGGCCCTGGCCAGGGCCCTGTCAGCTGGTGGCAGATGAGCTAGTCCCCCTGTGTGCCTTCCCCAGGAGGCCCTGGGACCCCAGACTCCCATTTTACCTTAATTGTTTGTTCTATTTTTATTTATTTATTTTTTAAAGATTTTGCTTATTTGAGAGAGAGAGAAAGAAAGAGGTATTGATCACAAGCAGTGGGGAATGGTAGAAAGAGAAGCAGACTTCCCACTGAGCAGGGAGCCCAATGCGGGACTTGATCCTAGGACCCTGGGATCGTGACCCAAACTGAAGGCAGATGCTTAACAGATTAAGCCACCCAGGTGCCCATTTTTTCTTAATTTTTCAAAGTTAGTAGAGAGGGGCACCTGGCCCTTGGGGTTGGTGGGTTGATGCAGTTCTTGATCATGGGGTTATAGATTCAAGCTCCCATTGGGAGTAGAGATGACTTAAAAATATTAACAATAATGAATGAATAAATAGACGAGTTAACAGAGTCTGTAGGCATTTAGTTCTTTTTCCAGCAAATTCCCTGACTTGTTAACATCATTGGGTCGCCAACCGGCAGGTGGGGAGGGACAGCCTGGCATTAGGGCTCCTTCCCACCCCGTCAGGGTGAGCCACTGCTGCCCCTGCCAGCCGACCTGTCCCCCATCCGCACGTAGCAGGAGCGTGTGGCTGACAGAGCCGTGGTCTGGCCCGGCCAGGGTAGGGTGGCAGAGAATCAGCCTGTACCCTTGTCATCATTTGAAAGGCACGGGGAAACTGTCATCTCTTTTTAAATGTTTTTGGAAGTCTTAACACGTGAGCTTCTGGGACAGCTGGGACCGGCTGAAAGCCGGAAGTCAGGGCAGTTTGGTCAGGCCCCCGTTCTCCGAGGCTAGCTCGCGGTATTCGTGCGCTCACGCCGCAGGTGGCCCACTGTCCCTAAGCGGCCCGCGTGCACGTTTCCACCTTGGCTGGCCGTCTGTCGGATCCGCCCCGTGCCCGATGGCACAGATCACGCACTCACAGCGTAGCCACTTGGAGACAAGGGGGCAGAGCCAGCTTCCGGCCACACCTGGGGTATGGAAACAGGTGGTGGGGCTGTTGTTCGTGGACTCTTGATCCAGATGCTAATTAGATAAGTTAGACTTACCAGATTTTTCCAGTTTCAGCCCAGTAAGTGGGTACGCTGTGCAGGACACGATCTGAACTGTTGGGTCTTTCCCATGTTTTCTCTGTGGTTCTGATGAGTAGAACGAGACCGGAGTGTTCTTGGTGGGGCATAGATCCCTGTCTCTCTCCTGGGGCAGGCACAGGCTGGGTCAGCTCTGGGCCGTGTCTCCTGAGGACTGCTGCTCCACCGGGACCTTCCTCTGCTCACTGGTTTCCCTCTGGGGAAGCAGGGGACAGCCAGCGGGGCGGCCAGGGACAGGAACACCTCCCTGCCCCATCCCTGTCCCAGCTCTCGCCTGTGGTCCTTGGGAACCCGCTGACGCTCAGACCCTCGGTGTCCCCCTGCAGCCCTCAGACGAGGAGAACAGCGACAACAGCAACGAGTGTGTGGTGTGCCTGTCAGACCTGCGGGACACGCTCATCCTGCCGTGCCGGCACCTGTGCCTGTGTAACTCGTGTGCGGACACGCTGCGCTACCAGGCCAGCAACTGCCCCATCTGCCGGCTGCGTGAGTGGGGCCGGGGGGCTGTCAGCTGCCTGCCCTGGGCACAGCAAGCTTGATGCCATACTGGGTGCGGGTGGTGGGGACCCACAGCAACCATGCTGGCGCGTGCGCGGCTGACATCTTCCAAAATTTAGACTTTGGAGTTAATGGCTGGGAAGGATGTGGCCAAGTGGGAGCTTGTGGTGAAATTGGACCTGGACAGACACTGGCCAGCAAATCCAGTCTTGATGTGTTATGTGGAAAATGTTTTTTGATTTAAAAAAATAGTCCCGGTGAGGTGGAAAGCTGACTGAGGGATAGGTTCTTGGGAACCCTGTAGACATTTTCTCCAAGTTAATTCCGGTTCAAGTGTTTGTCGTCCGGTGGAGGGAATCTAAACATTCTCAGGGCAGAACAAATCCCACTGGGTCAAAATGAGCATCAGGCTGGTGGGTGGGTCCTGGCAGTGAGGGAGCCTAGGCTGTGGGAGAGAAGTGAGCCCACCGTGGGTGCTGTGGGTTTCCATTTGGTGGGGAAAGGATAGCTTTTTGGAAAAAGCCTTCCTGCCCTTTTACCCCTTGGTGCGCCAGTCAGCGTCCCTGGGGCCGCCTGGGAGTCCTCGTGCCTCACCCTGCACCCCGGAGTCACTGCGCAGCCGTGCGGCCCCCAGTGCCACACCTGTCTTGTCGCTGTCTTGGGGCTCACAGCTAGTAAGGGGTGGGTGGGTCTAAACGGGTTGTCCTTCTGGGAGAGACAGCTGCGTGCAGGGGCCACAGGGCAGGCCGGGCATGTGGCAGTGGAGGATGAGGCTGTGGGGTCGTGGGGGTCCAGAGCCCAGCCCTGATGAGACCTCAGGGGTTGGTGGGGGAACCAGCAGGGGGCTGGTGTGCCAGCCCTGGAGGGTCAGGTAGCAAGGCCAGTAGCCTCTCCTCTGTGAGGGACAGGCGAGGAGCCGGGGAGCAGGAGCTAAACGCCAGCCTTCCCCACGGACCCTGTCTCCCGGGAGTGGAGGCCTAGGGGCCCAGATGGGCTGGGCAAGCTGGGCCGGGGCCCTTGTCTCTGAGCCTGCAGCCTGAGGCAGCTGCCATCAGAGCTGCGGACGTGGGTGCCCCAGCGGGTGCTGGTACAGTGTGCGGCTGTTGACGGCGTGCGCGACCTGCACTTTTCATCAGCGTTACCCTCTTGTTAGGGAAGCTGATGGTCCAGGACGACCAGTAGCCTGCACCCTAACTTACTTTCCCAATTGGTGCTGCTGGTTTTCCTGAGTAGAGATCGTCCTGTCAGGGGCATTCACATACGTGTGTCTGCTTGCCCTTGGTATGATTTCCAGGAAGAGACTGGCCAGTGTCCAGGGCGCACTGTGTGCTTTTAGTTGGTCGCCAGGTGTGACACAGACGCACCATCATTGCGTGGTCCAGGGTTTGGCCTGTGGGAGGCTAGTGGCACCCTGCCCGCTGCCCCAGAAGTTCCACCTGAACTGGGGTCATGCACTCTTGGCCTCACCTGTCTCCCTTCTGGGCGTTCTCGTGTGACTCTGTTTGCCTCTGATTTGGAGACTTAGCTTATTCTAGGACCTCCAATGGGAGGGGGTGGCCAATGTCCCTGGAGCCCCAAGGGGCTCAGTGGTGCTGGAACCGGCTGCCCCTTGTCTGATGTGAGCCCTTTCCTCTGCCACAGCCTTCCGGGCCCTTTTGCAGATCCGGGCGGTGAGGAAGAAGCCGGGAGCCCTGTCCCCCGTCTCCTTCAGCCCTGTTCTGGCCCAGAGCATGGACCATGATGAGCATTCAGTAAGTGCCTTTTTCCTCTGTGTTGGGGGGGTGTGGGGCAGAGAGGAGGGTGTCTGGAGGAAGCCCCTGCCCACTTGCAGAGCCCATCAGGTGTCTGGATGCCCTCAGGGCTTACCTTCGTGTTAGGACGGCTTTAGGTTCCCAGTGGGGCCATGTTGAGAGGCCCTGGTTGGGGGCTGAAAGGAAAGGCAGGGCCAGACTGTCTGCCTCTCCCTGCCTGCTGGCTCTCTCCATCCTCATCTGCCTGGTGGGCCAGCCTTGTCCCCAGAGGTGGTGGTGAGGTTGAAGGGGTGACCTAGGCTGGGCTCAGTGAGCCTCAGCTCTCGAGAGTGTTGTAGTTTCTCCGAGAACAAGGGCCATCTAATGGCATGCAACCCTGCCTCAAATTTGAATATCCATCACCGTCATTCAACCTGCCAGACAGCCAGGGCCACTGTGTGGGTTCTAGGAGGTGAGGTCCCACCCAGCGGATGCCTGTCCCATGTTCCTCCCCCCCCCACCACACACACTCTGCCCACTGAGAGGTGGTGCCCAACCTGGACACGGGGGCAGGGAGCGCCTTGACAGCCACCCACCTCACTTACTTCCTGGGAAACTGGGAGGTAGAGCTTGTAGGCATGTGAGGGAAGATGGACTTGGGCTTTGGGGAGAGAGATGGCTTTCTGCCTCAAGAGATAGGCGGACAGAGAGAGACGAAGAGACCCAGAACTATAGGCAGAGACAGAGAAAGACATGGAGAGAGATGGGCAGAGACACAGAGTCACAGAGACATGGAGAGAGACCCAGACCTGGATGAGAGTAGAAAAGTAGGTACTGAGACATTGGCAGAGAGACACGATGAGACAGATGGGGCAGGATGGGGAGGCTGGCGTGGGCGGGCAGGACAGGCAGGGGCAGCCCTAGGTCTGGAGCTCCTGGGCCCCAGCTGGCCCCAGCTGTTCGCAGCCAGTGGGTCCGTTGTTGGACTCAGTGATTCTTAGAGGAGAAGGACCCACACCCTGTGGTTCTTGCATCCACGAGATGGCCTTCTGCCCTGGGCCAGGGGGTGATGTGTTTGGCCTCTATGGTGATTCCAAATATTGGGCCAGTGTTTACAAGTCTGGACATTTCCTTAAGACTCAGATTTTTGGCTTCTCTTTTGAAATTTGAAGCTGTGGTTGTGTACCTGGAGCAGACGCAAGGCCGCCTCAGAGATGGGGTCCCCATCACCCCCACTTTTCCTGGCCAACCAGACTGTGTGTTTTGCCTGCTGGGTCCCTGTCGGTATCAGGGCTTCCTCCTTCTGAAACAGCCCTCCGGTGAATTTGGTGTTGGGCTGGATTTACAAACACTGAATATTTTTTCCAGCAATGCGGTTTTAGTGGAGAGAGGAGTGGCCCTAAGATGTGATTTGTTCCTGGGATTGGAGTCATTGTTCTGCAGGATGGGAGCTCGGGGATAGATGGTGGGTTTTCTTACTCCTTGTGTGTGCCCCTCGATCCCAGGCCCTGCCCTGGAGTCTGAGCATCCGGCCTGATCTTCCCACATTTACCCTCTTATCCTGAGAGAGCGGAGATGCCGCTCACACTACTGGGCAGACGGGTTTGGGTTGCTTGCTTCCCGTGTCCCGGAGGGCCTGTGCCTTCCCCTGCAGAGGGTTAAGGTAGCCGAATGAATGGGCTCCTGTGCTCTGCCACATTCCCTGTATAAGCAGTTTCCATGTAGTGCCACAGAGATCCCAGATTTTCTTCAGTGACACCATTAAGATCATTGAGGAGCGGGGGCGATTTGGGGCTGGTTTTTTGCCCCGGCTGCTTCTGGTTGGACATTGGTGATAAGTTCATGAGGCAGTGCTGAGCCTCCTAGAGGGACAGGGGGCGGTGTCCCTTTCCCCTGCTCAGCTGGGCCCACCATGGGGAACGCCTGGCCAGCCTCATGCCTCTGCTGGCCAGGACCACCTTCTTGGGGTGACCCAGGCCATGAGTGGGCAGTGGGATAGGGACGGGCTCGACCAGTGGCAGAATTCCTGGGAGTTGCATTGATGTCTGGGCCCAGGCCCTGCAGAATCTGCACTTGGCCAGGTCCCCGGACTTCACGTGTAGGTTACACTTGCCAAGCACAGGCTCACGGCACCCCTAGAGGCCAACAAACCTGGGAGGCCCCTCAGCTCCAGCGCCGTTTGGGGGGGTGGCAGTCATAAAACGTATGATTTTTATCTTGACAGTGTCCCTTTAAAAAATCAAAGGCGCACCCCGCCTCACTGGCCAGCAAGAAACCTAAAAGGGAAACAGTAAGTGTGTTTGGCCCTATGGCCACATCTTTGCCCCATGCCTTAATGATTCAACCAATGACAACTGTGGGAAGTCATTTTCACCCCAGGCTACCGTGTTTGGTTAATTTAATCTGTCAAATCCACTCTCCCCAGTCCCGGCGTCCCTGCCCTGGAAGGGAGTTTTGTGGAACAAGCAAAGCTCAAGGTCTGTCAGCAAAAAGCCGGTGTCTCTGACCCCGCTGTCAGGCGGCAGCAGCGCCGGCCTTGGGCCGCCCCTTCTCGCCAGCTCTGCTTCTGCCCGTGGTCCCCAGTGGCCTCGTTTCCCTTTTTTTTCTTGCTGGCAGTGGAATGATGTTGGAGGTGGAACTCACTTGCTAGTTTTTGCAAACTGTCTTCCTCGCGCTTGCTTGTCGTCCCGCATCCCCTGCTCTTTCCCCCTTGGATGTTAGCTCTTTGGGCCAAGGATGTGGTTTTCTGGCATTTTCCCTGCATCTCAGGGAGCAGGTGGGGGCCTCTACCTGGGCCTCTACTGACCCTTGTGGTCCCTTGGCAGAACTTAGGTGGAAGTCCCTGGAAGCCCAGCCCCGAGATGGAGGTTTTTCCAGTTTGGAGGATGAGGAGGTTCATAGTATTACTGGCCTTTAAGTGGAAGGCGCGCTGGGAGCAGATGCAAGGGTCCATGGGCCCAGGTGACCAGGGGACTCAGGAGGTGCTCGCTGAGGGCAGGGAACCCTTACCCTGGCTCCTCTGCCTTCCTCTGGTCCCATCGCCGCCCTGGAAGGCAGCCCTCCGTCCTCCCAGCAGAGCGGGCATGCAGGCGGGGGCTTCACCCTGGGAGCACTGCTGGGCATTTGCCCTTTGCCTTGTGTAGTGAGAGCGAGGCAGGTGGCTGTCCCACCTGCACAACAGCCTGATGGCCTAACATCTCCCAGCAGCTGGGCACCTCCCCACACTAACCCTAAAGCGAGACTCGGGCTATTGATTTGCTCCACTCCTAGCAAGAGGAAAGACTGGTTCTGAACCAGGGGTGCCCATTAGAACCATCTGGAACACGTGTCCCCCTCAGTAGATGCTTGTTCCAGGCACACAGAGGATCTCGAGTTGGGCCAGATGCCTGTGTTGGGCAAAGCTCCCTGTGGGGCCAGGCCCTCCCTGGTCTAGAACACATGCAGCTCTATTGGCCTCTCCCGCCTTTGGCATGGCTTTGCTCTCCACCCGCTCCTGAGCCTCCTTTCTCTCTCTGAGCCCTCACTCTCCACCCGTGCCAGGCAGGAACAGAAAGCCAGGTAGGGGCTGGCCGAGACCAAGGGTTGGGGGGGGCTCTTCTAGGTGGCCTCTCTTCCTTCATCTGCGGCAGAGTGGGCCATTCGGGCATCCCAGGCTGCGTGCTACAGCTGACGGCTGAGAGAGCCCTGGGGAGGTGCTCTGGAGTTCTGGGCGCCCCTCTGAGGGAGGGGGATTTAGGTCCCTGGAAGGTGGAGTGGACAGGAGATGGTCAGAAGGCAGTTTCGGGGGAGTAGCATGTCCCTGGGGCACAAGGCCAGCGTCTAGGGTTTTGTGGCCCAGGGCAGCGGACGGGGAGCGTGGCCAGCCCATCCCTCACCCACTCTTGTCCCCACAGAGCTCTGACAGCATCCCACCTGGCTATGAGCCCATCTCCCTACTTGAGGCGCTCAACGGCCTTCGGGCCATCTCCCCGGCCATCCCTTCAGCCCCCCTTTATGAAGAGATCACCTACTCAGGCGTCTCAGATGGCCTGTCCCAGGCCAGTTGTCCACTTGCGGGGATGGATCGAATCCTGGAAAGCAGCCACCAGAAGGGCAAGCCAAGGAGCAAATCCCCTGACAGGTGAGGCTGGTTGCCGGGATTCCCTCTGGGGTGTGGTATGTGGGAACCCACACGTCTGCTCCGTGGCGAGGGTCGGGGAAGCATGTGGTATATCATGTAAGAAGTGCAAAGCAGGGGCCACCTGGGTGGCTCAGTTTGTTCACGATCTGACTTCAGCTCAGGTCATGATCCTGGGATCCCGGGATGCCGGGATCGGGCTCCACACTCCGTGGGGAGTCTGCTTGAGATTCTCTGTCACGCTCCCCCTGTTCACATGCACGCTCCGTCGCTTTAAATAAATATAACACTAAGAAAACAAAGAAGTACAAAGCCGGTGTATTTGCGGCATTAGTTTTAGAATGTTTTGTTGGGTGATTCACCACAGTGACTCCCAGAACCAGTAGCAGGTTAGGTTACAGCTAAGGTCAGTTAGAGCAAAGGACACAGAACACAGCAGCTGGAAAGATGCCCTGGGAGAGGCCACGAGTGCCCAGCGTCCGTCCCTGTCCCAGGCCACACAGGACACAGTGGGAGCCCCCTGAGTCTCAGGATCCCGGGACGTCCTAGGGGCTGTCGCATGGGCACATCCTGCTGGGTGAACAGCTGTGGCACCAAACCCGGGCCGCCACGAAACCAGGAGCATGTTGGTGCCCTTGTTGTGCCCAACAAGCAGAGAGTCTGGTCATGCTTCTGCTGGACAGATGCGAGACATGTGCTCCCTCTTGTCACACGTGTGTTTATTTTTTAACTTAAATTCAAGTTCGTTTCAGAGGAAGGGTTCAGTGGCTCCTCAGTTGTACACAGCACCCCGCGCTCATTCCGTCACACGCCCGCCTTCCTGCTCGGGCCCCCAGTCGCCCCACCCGACCCACCTCCCCTCCAGCAGCCTCCGCTTTGTTCCGTGATTAAGACTCACATGGTTTGTTTCCCTCTCTGATTTTATCTTATTTTTTTCTCCCTTCCCCTATGATCCTCTGTTTGTTACTTGAATTCCACATAGAAGTGAGATTGAATGATAATTGTCTTTCTCTGTTGGACTTACTTGCTCTGCACGATACCCTTGGTTTCTTTACGCGTTCTGTTTTTTTAAGAAAAGGTGGAAGTTTTGTAAAACCCCCCACGCCGCAGCGACTTGCACACGTGGCCGGGCCTCTCCAGATCCAGAAAGAAGCATGGGGTTTCTCCTGCCCCCATCCCCTGCCCCCCACTCCCGGGCTTTACCGCTGTGATGCTCTCCTCCCCCTGGAACCACAGAGCCGGGGTCAGGCCCGTGCCTCCGAGACTGTCCAGCCGCCATCCTCTGGCAGACAGTGCCCCCCGGCGCACGTGCCTCCCCCCGGGCCCTCCGGGTGTGCAGTCTCACCCACGGGCACCGTTGGCCGTGGTGGGCTGGTGTTTATCCTCCGCACGTCCTCCCATCCTCCCCTCCTGTCTTCTCTGTCCCCAGCACCCTGCGGTCTCCGTCGTCCCCCATCCACGAAGAGGATGAGGAGAAGCTGTCCCAGGACTCAGACGCACCCCCCCCGCTGAGTGGGGCGGGGCTGGCGCTCAGCAGCTCCCCCGAGGTGAGCCCCTTCTGTCACCCTGTCCCCAGTGCCTGTGGGGGTGAACTCCATACCTGGGGCGAAGTGTGCCCCGTCCCCCTCCGCCACTTGCTCATGGGCCAGCCTCAGCCGATTTCCTCATCTGGGGGGTGCGCCTCATTTCGGGGCAGGGCCGGGGGTCTGCGCGGGAAATCCCGGCCTGGCGGCCCCGGAGCTGCAGGCGCTCTTTGTCCTTGTCTTCTAGAGCTTTGTCACGGAGGAGGCGGACGAGGCGGCGGCCCTGAAGCAGGGTAAGCTCTCTGCCTGAGGAGCGTGTGCAGCCTCGATGTAGGGAGGCCTCCCGGGAGACTTTGCTGCGGTTCTGGGGAGTGCAGGCCGGCTCCCTCCTGGGCGTCCCACACTCCTTACTGCAGGCTCTCCCCGTGCACAGCCCCCGGTCGGCCTGGTTTTCCTTCACGCCCAGCCAGTGCTTTGCAGCGGCCATCATTCCGCAGGCAGCCAGCTGCTCACGTGTGTCCCGTACGGGCTGCCCCTTTGGCGCCTGGAGAGACTCAGGGTCCCTCCTGGGGCTGTGCGCTGGACCGCCGGTGCAGGTGCACAGCTTAGCCAGGCCCCTCCTCTGCGTGTCCCTGGGTCTGCCTTGCACCTGTCCGGAGTGGGGGGCTTTAGCACAGAGAGCCTGCTGGGGCTTGAGTCCCACCTGCCACTAATAGGCCCTGACCTCCCAGTGGTTGTGGTATATAATGGGGTGCCTCCCCCTGCCGGCTTGGGGGGCGTGGCAGGAGGCTCACAGCCATTTTTTTTTTTTTTTTAAAGATTTTATTCGTTTATTTATTTGACAGAGCACAAGCAGAAGGAGGGGCAGAGGGAGAAGCAGGCTCCCCGCAGAGCAGGGAGTCCGATGTGGGGCTCTGTCCCAGGACCCCGGGGTCATGACCTGAGCCGAAGGCAAACGCTTTATGGCTGAACCACCCTGGCACACACACCCACCCCCAGCCATTTAATTGGGAGGTGACAGGCAGAAAGTAGCCGTGGCTGGCTGGCTGGCATGATAGGGACCCTGGAGTAACCTGCTGCCACCTTGTTGCTGTGACCTCCTCCTTACTAGCAGGCTCCCCAGCCAGCATTGTGCTGCTTTGACCTGTGTCCCTCCCAGGAGCAGGCTCCCCACCTCAGAATGGGCCCGACCCTCTCTTGCCATTCCTTCCTTCCTGGGCAGAGCCTGTGCCCGTCCCAGGGCCCGAGACCCCCCTTCTGCTGGAGGGGACCTGCTGCTCCTGTCTGACGCGGGCCACACTAGCTCGCCACTGCAGGGCGCGTGGCCCAGGTGGAAGGAGAAACAGGAGATGTTCAATCTATTACCTTCTTGTTTTTGTAAACAGGAGTATGTAGTGTTTCTGTCATGAAGAACAAAACCCCAAACAGGGTTGGGAGAGGAGAGTAGTAAAGAAGAGCAAACCTTGGCCTCTCAGGCCCTGAGCACAGAGGAGGGAGTCGGGGTAGGGTCTGGCCCGCAGCTGCTGCAGAGCCTTCAGGGAGGGAAGACAGGATCCTGGGGATCTTGACCAGAGGGTCAATGACCACCTTCTGCCTATAGGCCTCTGACCTGCCCCGTCCTCTGCAGGGAGCCGAGTGCCATCCTTTGAGAATGTCCTACAGGACGGCAGCCCTGAGGCCTGCAGCCACGGCCAGCCCCGCCTGCCCGCCGATGTCTACCTGCCAGGTAACCGCACTGGGCAGTCGGGCTGGGGGGTGGGTATACTGTCACTGTCCGTCCACATGGAGTGTGCAGTGACTGTCCTCATGGAGCTGGGGGTCTGGCTGGACTGGTCATGGAGGGGCTGGCTTGTCAGGAGCCCAGGTTTCTCTCCCTGGCTCTACCCACACTCCTTCCATTGACCCCAAAGCACAGCCAGACCCTGGCCACACATTTACCCCCTGCAGCCGCTTGCTGTCTGGGGCAGGGCCTGTGCGTGAGGCCCCTTCTCACCTAGAGCCACTTTAGCATCAGGAAGGCCGGAGGGACTGCTTGTCCTTCTTTCCATCCACCTCCTGCTTGGGGCCTGGTAGGCAGATCTAGCCCCGCTGCTATCTCCCACTCTTACTTCACCCATGGGCCCAGTAGGCCCTGTTCGGGTACCCCAACAGCAAGGCCTTGGCCCCAGGGAGCTACACACACAAAGCCACCTGTGTGCCCCAGGCCTGACGCAGGCCACCAGTCCTCCGCCTCCTGCCTGAGGGGCTGACGGCCCAGGTGAAGCCGCACATCGCAAGCCGGGGCTGGCAGGCCAGGTGGGGTGCCGGGCACCTGCAAGGCCCAAGGGCAGTGGGGGAAGGGCCTTGCTTCTCTGCCCCCCGCCCTTTTTAAAGATTTATTTATTTATTTATTTGACAGAAATCACAAGTAGGCAGAGAGGCAGGCAGAAAGTGGGAGGGAAGCAGGCTCCCAGCTGAGGAGAGATCCCGATGTGGGACTTGATCCTAGGACCCTGGGATCATGACCTGAGCCGAAGGCAGAGGCTTTAACCCACTGAGCCACCCAGGCACCCCTCTGGCCCTCTTTTTCAAAGGCTTCTGCCCTCCTGCTGGCTGCCCCCAACTCCTTTCTTCTTTGTTCCTGTGGGTCAAGATACTCCGCTTTAAGTCCTGGGCTCCAAAGATGGGGGACAGGAGTCGGGGGCCCTCAGAGACTTGTGCCTGCTGCCTGTTAAGATACCATCTGAGGAATAAATAAAATCTTTAAAAAGAAAAAGAGGGGCCCCTGGGTGGCTCAGTGGGTTAAAACCTCTGCCTTCGGCTCAGGTCATGGTCCCAGTGTCCTGGGATCGAGCCCCACATCGGGCTCTCTGCTCAGCAGGGAACCTGCCTCCTCCTCTCTCTCTGCCTGCCTCTCTGCCTACTTGTGATATCTATCTGTCAAATAAATAAATAAAATCTTTAAAAAAAAGATACCATCTGAGGATCTAAAATCAAGATAAATAGCCATTATGCCCTCAAAGTCTGGCCGGTGCCATGTGGCTAGTAAGCACCTTTGCCCCGCCGCCTGCCCTAGTTCTCGGTGACCCATGCAGTGGGCCTGGCTGTGATGTGCTTTGGTTTGAAGGTGTCTTGTCCCGCCCACCCCAGCATCTGGATAAGCAGTGGGCTGTGCAGACAGAGGGTCCGGTTAGCCCAGAGGGTGGCATGGTCATCAGGGGTAGCAAGGGCAGTAAGTGCCATCAGTACTTATGCCCCCCCCCAAGAGAAACCCATGGGTGAAAGCCATGTTTAGGACCAGCGTCCCATAGAGCAACAGAAAATTCCAGTAAGTTCTTTCAAGGAACTTCAGTGATTTCCATATAATTACAAGCTTCGGGGGGATGGGGAGAGCCCAGAGAGGGACTTCCTAGAAGCACAGGCAAGAATTGTGATCCTGTGGTTGAAGCGATACCTTGAGCGCACCCAGCAGTGCCAGTCCCTGCCCCGCAGTGTCTGGAGGTCAGAACAGGGGACACCAGGCTCTCTGCCTCTCTCACTCCCCAACCCCAGGCCAGTGATGTGCCTCCTTCAGCTCCACAGGTGGGGGGCGGGCAGGCCAGCTGTGGAGGGGCTAATGGAGAGGCTGAAATCTGTGTTTGGGGCAGCAGAAGCCTGAATCCAGCCACAGAGCTGTGGGCCCACTGGAGCCCATGGGGAGGGCGATACTGAGGCTCTGGGGCCCACACCCGCTACCCCCCGGCTTGTGCACACTGTGTGCTGTGCCCTGGGCACCGCCATGTGCATCGAGGGGCTGCTCCCCATGGGCATTGCCGATGGTACCTGGGGGCTGGGCAGGGGGCCTTGCAGACGTGCATACCGTCTTAAGCGTACATGTACCTGTCTTCCTTTATTCCTGAGCCGGCACGTTCTATCCTGCTACAGGGTCTCGCTTAGCAAAGAATGCTAAACGTCTTCCACATCGGGGTGTGTTCGAGAACGGGGACGTGCACTCGGTTGTCTTTGTTCTTTATGGCAGCTGCACAGCTGTCCCTAGAGGGACAGGCACGGTGTAGCGAACCTTCGTGTTCTCAGTGTTGATAGGGGGATGATGAGGAGGCTGGGCAGATCCGTGTGGGAAAGCTAGATGTGGGCGGTCCTGTGGGGCGGGGGCCCCCCGGGATCCCCCTTCCTCAGGGTGAACCCCACCTGCCCAGATCTCTGCCCTGTGCGCGCTTCCCTGGGCTGAGTCCCTCTGCGTTGGGCTGTGGCCCGTGCTCTGTTCTCCTTTATTTCAGCACGTGAGTCTATGGGCATTTAGTCCCATGTGTCCCCCCCAGGCAGTCTTGTCTTAAAGCAGTGCATTCACTGCAGAATGTGCGGGTCTGTCAGTGCTTTGCTAACTGAGCTTCCATCTCTCTCCTCCTTTGCACAGCCCTGGGGCCTGACTCCTGCTCTGTTGGTATAGAGGAGTAAGCTGGTACGTGATCGCCTGTGTCCCTGTCGCGGGGTGGCTCTGAGGGGCATCCTAGATGGTGCTGGACTGAGGACCTCCCCAGCTGCCTCTCCCTCTCCTGCTCCCTCCCTGCGGGTGCCTTGCCCTTTTCTGGGCTTCTTCCACATCCGTGTCTTCCCTGGGGTCTTGAATTCTGAATCCAGAACTCTCCAAACGTGCTACACCTTTGCTCCTAAGAGGTGGTCCCTAGGGGTATGACATTGGCCGACTTTTGGAGCCAGAGCTCTTTCTGTCTGGACTAGGTGGCCCAGGCAGGCTTTGTTAGCCTTTAAGGTCCTAGGAATGGTGACTTAGTCCTTGCTGAGACACCCCCGTTGCTGCTGACTAACCTGTCCCCCAGCCTACCTGTGGAACTTTCCAGAATACCAGCACATGGCTGAAATCCATGTACTAGGAAGCCATGGGAGGTTGATCTCTCCCTGATTGGGAAATGCCCTCCACCTGGGTGACCTTGCCAAATGACCGCTCCACGGAAGGTCATTCAGAGCGCCGGCCGGCCGGCCGGGTGACTGCGTTTAGGACCTTCTTCCCCTCCTTCACGTGACAGTAGTGGTTCTGGAAGTCCGGTGGTGGAGAAGCCGGTGCCTTCAGTGGCCCAAGCTTTCCCAGACGTGCGTGGGGTGGAGTGCTCCCGCAGGGCCTCTGGCCCATCCTGGCAGTGAGGGCCCAGCGGCCCCTGCGGGGAGATGCGCCCCAGGCTGGTGTGCGGCCTTCCTCCTGGCCAGCTGTCCCGAGCTTCCGTGTCTGTCCGCTCATTCTGACACCTGCATTTATGTCCTCGCACGAACTCTTCTTCTGCTTGAATGTTTCTTCTGACAAATATTCATCTCTATTGAAGTCGGGCCCAACACTTTTATAAAGTCGGCCCTGGTTTCCCTGTCCGTGGATGTTGAGTGCTGTGATCAAGGTGAAGCTTCCAGAAGTAGAAAATGCACAGAGGTCAGGCTGAGCTCCAGAGAACTGTATTTTGCCTGTAGGCTGCATGGCAGAGCTGACGCCCCACACAAAGCCACCTAAGAAATTAGTTCCTTCACTTCAGCGTCTGTGTCATAGGTGACGGGGCAGACGCACCCCTTGGTTTGTGATTTGAAGGCTGTCCCCGTGGAGCCCGTATTCAGTGGATGGGCGGCGGGCAGCCGTCCCTCTGTAGCTCTGGTAGTTGTGCCTGTCACTTGCTGCTATGGGCTTGTGTCACCGGGGGCATCCTCTGTCCAGGGACAGAGTCCCTTGTGGCATCAGGAGGCCTCTGAAGAAGGCAGGGTAGGGCTCTGGGGTCTGCTCTGAGCACAGAGTTGTCTCCAGGTCCAAGTGCACTCTCCTCTGCCTGGGCTTGCCCGAGTCCCGGTCTAATTCGGTAGTGAAGGATAGTGACTGGTCAGATCCCAGGAAGCAGGGGCCAGGTGAGGGAGGAGGCCCCAGGGGCAGGAGCCCATGGCACCCGTTGCATTCCATTTGGGGCATCAGCTGGTGCTGTTGCGTGGGTTCTGTTCCAGGAGAGACAGGCCCCCCTTTACTCTGCTGAGGCTGGAGTTCTAGGTCTCTGTGTGGTCCTGCCACAGACACACAGTGTAGGGGGTGCTGGGTGGCCCTGCTCTCTTGGGGGGGGGGGTCATGGTTGGTGGAAGTTGAGCCCGATGGCTGAGTGGGTGACTGGGCCACCCATGACCACTTCTCCCTCTGCTCCTGTCCGCAGGATGGTCCACCTCCATGGAGACGCCCCACAGCCTCCGTACTGCTGGCCCACCCCGGCCTGACCCTGGGGCCACTGAGCTGACCCCACTTTGAGAGCCTGGCCAGGCTGGCAGCATGGAGCCCTTAGCTCCCCAGACTTTGCCGGGGGGGCCACCAGATTCTGCGTGACCCCTGGCCTCTCCCGTCTTGCACGCTCTGCGTGGCCGCTGGCTCTGAGGGGCCACACAACCCTTGATTGAAGAGCACAGTGGACTATCTCCTCTGACAAATTCCTTTTTCTACAGTCAATGTGTTTGTCAATGGTACAAGATGAAGGACAACAGCTTTCTGTTCTGGGCTCTGAGGTTTCCCCCAAACGCCCCATTGGCTCAGTGGCTGGGACTGGGGCCTGACCACCCACATGCAGCCTGGAGCAGCTTCTCCGAGCATCCTAGCTACTGGGGACTTGACATCCCAAGAACTCAGCACAAATTCTCCGAAGAAAAGTGTATTGGTGGGTGAGGTGGTGTCTTCACAGGAGATGTCCTAAGGGTCTTGTTGGCCGAGGTGGAAAGGAAGTGGGGTCTGAGTCATGGTCAATGAAGGAAACAGTGCCTGTCCCCTCCCCCCTGCGCCTGTGTCCTTGGCAGCCTGGCTGTTGCTATCCCGTGCCCTCTGCTGCTTCTTCCCCTTCCTGCTCCAGTCCTGGGGGGCAAGGCTGCCTCCCATAGCTACCCCTACTCACTCAGGCCCACTCAGCCCTTGGGGGCTGGGGGCTGGGTCTGACTGAGGGGCCGAGACAGCAGGTAGTGACTGGTGGCCCCTCTTGGCCCCGCGCGCCTTTTCTGAAGTGGCTTTGCTCATGGGGCAGGTGCCTGCAGGTGAGGGGCTTTCTGCTGGGTTCGTGGGGCTGCTGTCCACTTGCCCCAGTGAGGGATCTGAGTGGCTTCCCTGCTCCCTCTTGACCACCGAAGCGTCCCTTGGTTTTTCTTTGACTTGTTCTATCTGGGGTCCCTGTGGTGGACCGGCCTGGGGGATGCACGTGGCAGATCCTGTCTGAGGTGACCTTGCCTTTTTTTTTTTTTTTTTAAAGCAAAACTTTCTCGACGACAAAGGCAAAAAGGGGGCATCCAGCCCTGGTGTCCTAGGTGACAGCTGCCCAGCAGGGACCTTCCAGGTGGTTGGGTCTGTGCAGGTCCCGGAGGTGGGAAGACTTTCCTGGTCTGGGGTGAGGGGTGCAGAGCGGCCCGCTTCCTGAGGAGCTGCCCTGGGAAGGATGGTTCTGGGGCAGCCGGCAGTGGTCCGTGGAGCCCTGTGGCCCAGCCGGCCTGTGTGTGCAAAGCCCTGGCCCCCACCGCGGCACCCCCCTGTGGCTCGTTGCACAGTGTGCTCAGGAGAGAAACTAGCAGTAGGGGACTCATCTCTCCATTTGAGCCTGTGAGCAGAGTGCTGCCCTAGACACGGCTCTCAGACATGCACAGACTCCCTGGCTCCCCTGCCCTCCCCTGCTGCCCGCCATGTGCTCATGCCCGCGCGTACCCCGAGAGGTGCACACACCCGCACACGCAGCCTGGCTGCCTCCCTCCCGCCCCTTCCTGCTCCTGACCCACCAGCCCTGGCCTCTAACCGTTGGTATTGGTGCCAGTACTCTGTTTGAAGGCCAGGATGCAGACTGGCCTGTCTTGGACGTAATGTGCTATCATTTGATGTACTCTGATTGGCTAGTTTTGGTTCATTTTTACTGTATATTTATAGTAATAAAATCATGCAGCAATATCTTGTCCGCTCCTTCCTCTGCACATTGCTCTGAGGGACCTCGGCTGTTTCCTAGTCTGGAGGCAGGACGGCTGAGCGGCTCCTGGTGGCTCTGGGCACCCCCACTGCAGCACGAGCACGCCGTGTGTGAGATGTCAGTGACACGTGACTTCCAAGAGGACGACAGGGCATGAGATGGTATGTGAAGCACGTGACCTGCTGTTTATTACAGCTGAGGTCGTCCCTGTGCTGATTCTGGGTTGGAGTGACGCGGACTCTGGGGTTGGGGCTCGTCTTCTGGCAGCAGAGCCATCCCTGTCTTCACAGATATTTCCTGAGCTCCTACCGTGCCTCAAACCAGTCTGGGTCAGGCCCTCCGGAGTTTGTGTTCTAGGTCCAGAGACACTGTGCAAGTGATCCAAAGCTTCCCAGGTGTGATGGCTGTGGGAGGAGTCGGCCAGTGACAAGCTGGAGCTCCACGGGGTACTTGAGTTAACCTGTGGTGGAGGAGGGCTTCTCTGAGGGGTGTTTCAGCCGAGCCCCCGGGTGCCCACAAAGGCCCTGAGGCCACAGTGAGCCTAGTACGACCACTGAGCAGGAACAAGACCCAGTGGCTCTGGTTGCTGGAGCGTCAGGATTAAGGAGTGTCAGGGTGCAGATGCCGCAGGACCTCAAAAGGACAGTTTTATTCTGAGAACGGTCAGAGGTTTTGACACAGGGAAGTCACTCTCTCCAGCTTTCGTGTGCAGTGGATTAGAGGGCGAGGTTTGGTGGCCGGCCTCCCTGCCCAGCCAGCGGCCTCCCAGCAGGGCAAGGCTTGAGTGCCCAGAGCTCCCAGGCAGCACTGCCCCCATGCTGCCTCTTCAGGTCCCCTGTGACTCAGGGGCTTAATGGGGAGACCAGCGTTCTCAGCTGGTTCGCCCATGCCCTGAGGCAGGCCTGCTGTCCTCAGCCCTGCAGTGGCTCCGTCGTGTTTGGGCCTGGCATGGTCCCAGGGTGGGGAGAAGGGCGCGCCATGTCAGATGAATTCCTGCGTGGGCAGCTCTGGATCCACACTTCCGCCAATGGACCAGGAATTGTGTTAACGTCTTGTGTCAGGCAGGGCTTTGGGGTGTGGGGTACCTTTCCTCTGTGCCCCTGTCCCCCAGCCCACGGTTTGGGGCATGAAGCGGCCGCCTGTAGCCTGGAAATGTGGTTGTGTTGGGATGGGCGCTCGCCCTCGCTGACATCTCTTCAGACATGGTTACTTGCCCTGGAATCTGACTTCTCCCTGCAGGCTCTGGTTGCCCCTTCTGAATCCTGACCCCAGGACGTGGCTGGGAGAGGTCCTGCCTCTTTGGATCCTTGTTTCCCGTTTCTGACAGTACCAGCACGGACTCACTGTGTCAGTGAGCGTCTAGTGGGTCCTTCCAACCCCTTGCCCAACCTGCTCTGCCCCTGCTCTCCTCTCCTGCCCCCCCAGCCCTGCTCAGGGCAGCCTTCGCCCCAGCACTTGCCCTGGCTTGATGGACGCGATTCTTTGAGGCTCTCGCTGGGGCGCCCGTCCTGTGAGTGCAGGTGGTGGTTCCTTCACTCAGCAAATCCATGCCGGCCGTGGGAGAATGGAGTTTGGGAGTGGAGTGAGCGGCCCCACTGCAGGATTCTGAGGAGCCCCAGTGCGCTCTCTTGGACGCTGCTGCTGGTATTCTCGAGCCCCGGGACTTCCTTCTCCAGCAGACCCAGGGTAAGTACTTCAGGCTCTCCTCCTTTGTGAAAGTTGGGAGGTTTTCTGTTGTGGACACTGGGGAGGAGACAAGGTGGAAATCTAGGGTGGGATCCTGGCTCCAGCACCATCTGCTGAGTGCTCTTAAGGCAAGTCCTGTTCCTCTCTCAAGTTTCTCCTTGGAAAATGGGGGAGACCCCATTTGCTCCCGCCGAGCCTGGCATATGTGTCTGACTGGGAGGATAGGGGATGCTAGGCGCAGATTTAAGGTACTTCCTCCCCCAGCAGGCTGGGTCTCGGACTGTGCGTGGTCGCGGACTGTGGGGGTAGCTGGAGCTCAGTCGTTCCGTGTTTTCTTTGCTCTTTGGGGTCTGGCAGATCGGCAGTGACCTTGGAGGGGAGTGCTTGGCTGGCACGCGAGCAGGGAAGGGCCATGCCTTCAGGTCGCCGGGCTCCGCGCGGAGCCCTCCTGGTGGAGGCACCATCGCGGGGGCTGGGGGCTGCTAGTGTGAAGCCTGCGGGGCGGCGCTCCCAGGGAGGCGCTGGGGAAAGGCAGGGGACATGGGACTCATGGAAGGCAGTCGGAGCCCCAGACCGCAAGCAGCGCCAGCTCGAGGGCCTCCGAGGCCCAGCTCATCTCGGGAGAGCTCGGCGGGCGCGGTGCCTCCTGGGCGTCTTGAGTGTTGAGGGTCGTGGACGGGGGCGCGCGCAGACCCCTCTCTTTGCACACGCCCCTTCCGCGCCTCAACGACGCGTCGGAGCGCCGGGAAGGGCTCGGCCCCGATGGGCGTCGGCAATTGGTGGAGGGGCGGGTCCAGGGGCGGGGCTTCCTGCGGATTGGTGGCGCCCGGCGGGGGCGGGCCCGCGCATGCACTTAAGGAACGGCGCCGCGGCCGAGGCGGGGCAGTGTCAAGATGTCGGCGGCGGTCCCGGAGCTGAAGCAGATCAGCCGGGTGGAGGCTATGCGCCTTGGGCCGGGCTGGAGCCACTCGTGCCACGCCATGCTGTACGCCGCCAACCCCGGGCAGCTCTTCGGCCGCATCCCTATGCGCTTCTCGGTGCTGGTGAGGACGCGGGTGGGTGGGCGGGCGGGGGACGGCGCGCCGCTCGCACCCCGCGCCCGTGACCCGGCACTCCCTTGCAGATGCAGATGCGCTTCGACGGGCTTCTGGGTTTTCCCGGGGGCTTCGTGGACCGGCGCTTTTGGTCTCTGGAGGACGGTCTGAACCGGGTGCTGGGCCTGGGCCTGGGCTGCCTGCGCCTCACGGAGGCCGACTACCTGAGCTCCCACCTGACCGAGGGCCCGCACCGCGTCGTGGCGCACCTGTACGCACGGCAGCTGACGCTGGAGCAGCTGCACGCCGTGGAAATCAGCGCGGTGCATTCGCGCGATCACGGCCTGGAGGTGGGGCCGCCGCCCGGGCCCCGCCCCCCGCCCCGGGGTTTGGCTCTGGCCCCGTGGAAGGCACCGATGGGTAACACGTCCCCCTGAGGGTCCCCTGGCCGGGCTGGGTGGGGTGTCGCTGTTTCCAGCATTGGGGAGGGGAGAGGGGCCTGGGGGGCAGGGGTGGGAGCTCCGGGAATGGGGTTCCCTCGGGGCTGTGTTCCATCTGCCTTGCTGCCTGCCATTGCCAATCCTGGGAGTGGGGAGTGGGATTGGTGGGGGGACGGGATGAGTGGTGCCTTCTGGGGAGGTGGGAAACTAGGGCTGGTTCATGGGCTGGGATCTCATGGTTTGGGTGTTGAAGGCTCCTAGGGGCTATGGGTTTTATAGTCTGGAGGAGGTGGGAGTTATACTTGGGATGTTTGGGAAGGGGGAGCATGGGGTATGAACTGGGGGCCTTCCTGCCAGCAGATGGGAGCTGGGCCTTAAGAGTGTAGAGAGTGGTCAGGGGTGCATGGGGTCAGCTTTGAAAGTTGCCTGGGGAGTCGAGGAGCCGCACTGCTCCAAAGATACCGCATACCGCTGGCTTCTGCCTCACCAGACCCTGCTTGGGTCCCCCATTACAGCCTTCGCAACCTGGCTGCCTTCCCCTGGCCTAGCAGCTCACAGGCTCCTCCTGCTAGGGCTGCACCATTGTTGGGGGGGCCTGGTCTCACTCTGATCTCCTCTCTGCAGGTGCTGGGGCTTGTGCGAGTCCCACTTTACACCCAAAAGGACCGAGTCGGTGGCTTTCCCAACTTCCTGAGCAACGCCTTTACCAGCACCGCCAAGTACCAGCTGCTCTTTGCGCTCAAGGTGCTCAACATGATGCCGGAGGAGAAGCTGGCTGAGGCTTTGGCGGCTGCCACTGAGAAGCAAAAGAAAGCCTTGGAGAAGCTCCTCCCATCTTCCTCCTGAGGTTGAGTTTATGCCGCATGTCTCTTGCCCTCCCCTCCTTCTGTGCCCTGAACTCCTAGGAGAAGGCTTCCTCCTGTGTGTTCACAACTCCTCTCCACTGCCTGGAGCAGCTACTGGGTGGCAGCCAGGTTCCTGGGAGCCCACCCTGGTCTGTAGGTGGCCTGGCTTTCCAGGCTTAGGACGTTTTCTCCTACCCCACCCAAGGCTTAGACTCTCCACGTGAGAGGTTGGTGGAGGTGTCACCCATTTATCCAGATGGGTACGTAGACACGCAGAGACCGTCGAGAAGTCGGTGTATTCTGGTGGAACATGCTTTGAGTCTGGTCACCAGCCAGCCCCAGGGCTGAGGGAACAGCTGGCTTAGCTCAGAATGCTGGACTGTTAATTTTGGTGATGGTTAGCTTTACTTGGTTAATTTTTTCTGTGGTGTGTGAACTGGGAGTGAGGCTTGAAAGCTCTTTACCCCGCTGGGGCTTGGTCCCCAAGGTAAGCTGGGGCCATGAGGCCCAGCTGGAGCTGGACCTGTTGAGAGAGAAGGGACGGGAAAGGCTGTTTTGGGCTGCTGTGTGTGTTCTGTGGTCTTGGCCACAGGCCTGAGGCTGGGTGCATGGGAGGGTCCCTTCTTCCACTACCCAGGGACTTAATGCTGGGAGCCAGGCACAAGAGTGCTGGTCTCCATTCAGCGTGGAGCTGACCCGGGCCTCCTGTCTCAGGTGGAGGTCCCATCCGCTTCTTTGTGGCTGCTGTGGGACTGCTGCCTTCAGGCTCTACAGGCCCTGCGCCTGGTCCAGGGCTTCTGGCTGCATCTGAGCTCGCTGCTCTCTGCTTTGCAAGCCTCCCTTTCTCCATTCCCAGCACAGGCTGCAGGCAGCTCCAGGACATGGTATGGAAGCACTGGCCAGGTGTGCAGAATGACAACCGCAGAGACACAAAGGTCACCACTGGCAGTCTCCTATGGCCCGATGTCCGGAAGGGCCCCTCCGTGAAGCTAACCAAGTTTCCACAGCACCTGCTCGGCCTGGTAAGGAAAGCTGTGCTCCGGCCCAGCCTGAGCGCCTGTTCCGCCTTAGAGCCTCGATGAAGTGGCCAGCACGTGGGGGCAAAGGCACTTCATTCTGTAAATAAAATACCTGTACCTTGTTCCTCTCTTACTTCCTTGGGGCGTGGGAGTGTGCGTCACTCTTCAGATCGCTTTTGGGGACTCGATGGGGCTGGGAGCAAGGGCAGCCGACAGAGGGCTACAGGGCACTGCCAGAGCAGGAGGGGTCAGCTGGTCCGCCCTGCTCTGCACATGGTGGTCTCTGCCTTGACAGAGGGGGCTTGGGTCCCAGGGGGTTACTGAAGTCGGGGTCTCAGCCTGGCTTGCCCCTGGCCTCAGTCTGTCAGCCAGTAGTGTGTGCGGCATGACCAGGACGGAACCCCTCAGCATCAGAGCTTACATTTTATTTTCCAGCAAATGACATACGCTGTCCAGGTGCCTAGTCCTCTCCCAGGGGGCACCTGCGGTGTCCGGGGATCCGCTCTCTCCCACCGTGGCCCTGCCCGCTCTGGGCCTCACCCCCACGTTCTGGCCTACAGGCCTTCGTCCTGCTTCTGTGGGGGCCTCACTCCTCGCACCGGCCCCAGCCCTGTGCTGCTTCTGCTGGCTGCTCGGGAGGCTTGATCCTCCGGCCTGCTGGGGCCCGGCCCGCCACCGCCGCTTGCTGTCCGCACTCCTGTCTTCCAGGCACACAGCTTCAGGGTGGATCAGTCACCCAACGTCAGATTCTGAGAAGGGAAAGGGAAGACTGAAGGGGGAGCTCACCACTGCCCAGTGCGCCCTGCTCTCGCAGCCCGGGGCCTGGCCGGACGGACACTCACCGTCCCTCCCAGCTAAGGCTCCCGCCAGTTCTCCTTCCCGTTCAGCACTTGCAGCTTCTCCAAGCTCTGGGTCACTGAGCATAGCACTCGCCCTGAGGACGGGAGCAGTTAGTTACTGCTTTGCAAGTGTGAGAAGAAGGGGCGTGGGGGGGTGCCTAGGACTGCGTGACCGTGAGGGGTAGTAGGCCGGGGCAGGGCTGACCCAGGGGTTGGAGCTGACCAGGCAGGGCTCTCCCTGTTCACCCACTTTTGGCCCCTGGTGTGGGTGAGGCCACTGGCTGCCTTCCCAGAGACTCACCCATTTCCTGGACTCGATCCTCCAGTGCTCCTGACAGCTCAGGGAGGCTCAGAGTCTGCAGCGAGGCCTGCCAGCCGCTGGAATCTGTGGAACACAGAGCCAGGTAGGCCTAGGGTCGGTGTGGTCACCGCAGGTCTTGCCTCTGTCCTGAGCTGCTACGACCAGGGGACCCACTCAGCTGTCGGTTCCTGCATGACCGCCTTGTTACACCAAAATGTATTCTCCCACTGTTCCTTCAAAGCACTAATGGTCAGTCCGGGCCCTGCCCCAGGAATGAAAGCGTGAGGGTCCCTGGCCTACAGTGAGGTTTTGTCCTGGGGTAGCCCCAGCTGTAGGCTGCAGAAGTCACCTGAGATCCTGGGTAACACAGCCAGAGCCCAAGGGCTTTGCCTCCTACCAGGGGGAGGAAATCGGGGAGAAAGGGTGGCCTCACTCCGGAGTCTGGGGTGGTACGGAGGCGGGCAGCAGTGAGTGGGGTCACTGCTGGAACAGGCGGTTAACACAGGGCCCAGGGCAGCGTCTGTGGTCCGGGGCCGGACACTGTTCTTACCAGTTGTGGGGAGGAGGGCTCTGCCCAGGGGGCACCCTCGGGTGGACACCTCCTGCTTCACTCTGGCTGACAGCTCCGCTTGACAGGCTCTGGCAGACACAAGACCAGGTGCTGGTGAGGAAGAGGCCTGGCAGTAGTGCCTCGCCTGGCCCCAAGGAGGGGCAGACACCCCCCACCCCCAATCTCCGTGTCAGGTGGGGCTCTGCCTTCGTGGCAGGCTCCCAAGGCCCGAGACACAGGCAGAGGAGGAGTTGCACGCTGCGTGCAGGCTCTGGGCCCTACGTGCTGCCTGGGTCTGCCCTGCGGAAAGGCAAAGCCAGGAGGACATGGAGGAGGGCAGTGAGTGCCCCCAAGAGACCCTAAAATCGAGCCCTTGGTTGAAGAATCTGCAGGCATTGGTGACTCCGGGTTCGGCCTGGGCCTGGGGACCGCTCAGATACCCACTCACCGCAGCTGCTCCAAGACGAGTGCGGCGTCCCGCGCGAGGGCCCAGGTCTCCTGCAGCTGGGCGTGCACGTCCTTCCGGGCACCGTCCTGCTCCAGGAGGCAGCTCTCCACCACGGCGCGCAGCTCCTGCTCCTGCGACACCTGGCCCCGCATGGCCTCCACCTCCTCACAGCGCTGCGGTGGGAGAGGCAGGACCCGGGGTGGGTAAGTGAGCCAGGGGGGTTCAAGGCCAGGGCCACTTGGGCTGGGTCCCCCCAACCCCGGTTCTCTGCCGTCTCCATTGGTGCTCAACTCCCGCTCTCCTGGGCTGGAGGCAGGGGATGCCTGTCTCCAGATGGAGCCTCCTCTGCTTTGGGTCCCTTCCCTCAAGGGCTGTGGCGCCCCCGCCGGCTGCTCGTCCTCTGCCCTCCCCCTTTATCTTCTGTGTCCCTCTGAGCTCCGGCCTCTGGGTCTCCTCTTAGGCACAGGAGCGGTAATGCTTGCTGCCCTCACGGTCCCACTGCCGGTCCCGGCTGCTTCTCTCTGCTGACCCTGGGTAAGCGTCCCCACTGCCAGCTCTCTACTCTGCGTCCTTCTCTGCAGGTGTGTCTGCCCGGCCCCTCCCCTGCTCACCACCTACTTTGTGCAGCTGGATGGCGAGCTCCTGCATCTCCGCTTCGAGCCGGTCGGCATAGGCCAGCTCCAGGGCATCGCTGGGGGGACGGGCGCTGCTGTGCCAGCGGGCGATGGCAGAGGTCATCTTCCTCTTCGGCCCAAACAAGCTGTAGGGGTGAAGGAGAGAGGTGTACAGGTCTGCGGTGCGCACAGGGGTGCCATGGACCGTCCTTCCACCAAGACGGTCCCCTAGGAAAGGTCCCACCTTTGAAGGGGGAGAGTGGCCCCCAGGATCCTGGGACAGATGACAGAAACAAAGGGTTCTCCAAAGTGACCCCGGTTGGGGCTGGCCTCCCCTGCCTGCTTCCTCTCCCTGCCTGGCTGCTGCTTTCACTCAACAGGGAGGTCAGGCCAGCTGGGGCCAGGCCGTGCATGGTCTCCCACCAACTCCGGAAGCTCTCAGAAGTGGACAGCAGAAGTCCGGATGCCCTTACCACAGCAGCGTCAGCGGGCCAGCCTGGGGACCGGAGAGGCCGGCCGGCTGCAGAAGCGAGCAGACTTCCAGACAGGGTGGCTCGTTCCACCCCAACGCGGGGACGTTGGGAGCTAAGCTAGCCCCTTTGGGCTGGGGGAAACGAGAGGCCCGCGGCCACGAAGGGCCCCTCTGCGCTCACGTGATGCCGATTTCCTTCAGGTCGCTCTCCGTGAGGGTCAGGAAGATGCGGAGGTCCACGTCCTGCTCCTCGAACACCTGCAGGTACTTCCGACACCCGATCTGCTCCAGCAGCGTGGCGAGGTCCTGGGGGGCAAAGGAGCCAGGGTGGGTCAGAGGACGGGTGGGGCCCCGAGACTTGAGGGCCTACTAAGGCACTGCTGCCGCTCAGAGCCCCTCCTGGCAAGCGTGCCTTCCTGACATGGCTGTAAGTCCGTCAGTCCCCCAAGTTCCCCAGTGGGATGGTGCGGCCTTGCCAGGAGCTCCAGCCCCCCACCCCCAACCCCCGCAGCGCCACCAGGCAGAGTAGGCTGTCCAGACCGCCTCAGCCTGGACAGCCTTAGTGTTGCTTGGAGGGCGGGTCCAGGAGCAACAAACTCTTAGTCTGTTTCCCTGCGACTGTGCGACTGTCTTAATTTCTCCTTTGCTTGTGAAGGATAGTTTTTGCTTGGATATAGCATTTCTGCTTGAGTTGTTTTTGTGTTTTGTTTTGTTTTTTCTTATTACTTTGACTAGGTCATCATATGTCTTCTAGGTCCCCTGGTTTCTGATGGGAAATTAGTGGGTAATCTTAGGAGAGTGCCTTTTGTGTAAGAGACTCACTTCTCTCTTGTTCCCTTCAAAATTCCTTTGTTTTTGGACAGTTTCATTACTTACGGTCTAGCTACGGATCGGAGTTCAACCCACTTAGGGCTCACACAGCCCCCCTCCCTGCACTGGCTGTCTTCCTGTGGAGGCTCTGGAGACGGAATTCTCCTCCCTCTCCACAGTCTGTTGCTGCTGCTTGGTGCAGACATTGTTTAGTGCCTTTTCTGTAAAGTCTGTGCTCCTCTCATGTGGCCACAGAAGTCTCTCCTTGGCTAGCGTAGTGGTCAGCTAAGGACTGGACAGATTTCCTTAAACACCAGAGACGAATCAGTCTCCCCCCTTTGCTGCGTAGCTCTGTAGGCTTGGAACACAGCTTCGACACCCAGCTGGGCAGATGACAGTCTTCCCCTAGCCTTCCCTTCCAGCCATCAGATGCGTTCTCACATCTTTCCTGGCCATACACGGAGCACATCCCTGAGCATGTTTGTGGCCTCCCGGGTCCCTAGGACTCTGTCAGAGCTCTACAAAGCTCCTGTGGACATCTCATTCCCTACCTTTCCTTTTCAGCTTTGTGATTAATCTTCTTTGCCCCAACTATTATCCAGCACCTCAGGCAGCTGCAAAGTTAAAACACGTGCCTATAATTATTTTCCGCACACTTTCTGCGAGGAGAGGGCTTCTGCTGCATTGGGTAGACAAGGTGTCCGTGAAGTCAGATACAGTTCTGTAAGCTAGGGAGTCGTCCCACGCAGCCGACAATGCTGACTCTTTCAGAAAGAAACCCTGGGGAGCCCCGGCATGGCCGTCACAGTGACCCTGGCCCTGCGGAGGGAGCGTGGGGTGCAGGCACGTCAGCCGCTTCTCCTGAATCCTCATTTCCAAGTTGCTCCAAGCTTCTGGGTGATTCAGAGTTTTGAAAAAAGTTATTCTGACTACTTCTGCCAGTTTATTGCCTTTGATGGAGGAGCCAACTTTCAAAGGTTGTTACTCTGCCATTTTCCTTAACCTCCTTTCTCAAACAGCCTTAAGATCTCACCACCACCACGCCCTCTCCCATCAACACGTATTTAAGGAACTGAAAGATGTAGCTGTTCACCGAGCCCCAAAACAAGGCCCTGGAGAGAGCTCCCTGGAGGGGCCACACAGAGAAGCCGGCAAAACTGCGGCTTCCAGTGAACAGCAGAGCTGTGACCTTAATAAATGGTGGAAACGTACTCTCTCTCTCATCTTTGTACCGCTTATGCCCACAGAGGGCAGGAGAACGTGGCAAACAGGGAGGTGAGCTGCTGTGCCGTACCCAGAACCCTAAGAAGCTGGTCGGCCAGAGGGACCCGCGACGAGGAAGGCAGAGATGGTGGTTTTCCTCAAGTGCCACTGCATGCCTGCTTCACACGCACCCTGTCCCTGGCTTCTGCGCGCCCCTCTGTACAACCGGTCCTGTTTTTCTCCTCCCCAGCCTCAGGGAGGCTAAGTCAAGTATGAAAGCAAGGGGAGAGTTTTTCTATGGAAAGGGATGGAACAGAAACCCTGCAGCCGGCACCTGGAGCCCTCAGGAGCCGTCTCCGCCTGACGAGCCCCACAGACGATCTGGGGGGACCACCGGCTCGCTCCGCTCTCACTAGCGCCTGCCCGTCGTACGTGTTCGGTGCGGGCCTCACGGAGCACACGAAGCACCCGACATCTAACTGCCGGTGTCCCCGTGGCCCTTACCTGAGGTCCTGAATGGGGGCACCTCTCCGTCTGGGGCATGGATCCCGGGGAAGAGGCTGCCCCGGGAGTGCCGGTGCCGGGAGGCCACTGGCTGGCGCTGTTGCTGTAACGATTCTTGGTCTTCACGTAGCTTTTAGTTTGCTTGCGAACCGAACTCTGACAGGCGTGATCCGAATCCTGTGGCGAGACGTGTGCTTAAAGTGAACGCTACGGGGCTCACAGCTAACGCAGCTGCCGCCACTCTGCCCTCTGCCCCCCACACCACCGGCCACCGAGAGGCTTCCTTGGTGACCTGCGGGCGGGCGGGGCTCACAGAGGGCGGCCCAGGATGCTGTGTGTCTGCCTGGCACGAGGTCCTTGTCACCAGCCTTGCCCTCTCCGAGGGGGCAGCCCCCACGACACCAAGGAAGGGGAGGGAGGTGGGAGATAAAGAAAAGCTTCACCTCGTTGCTCTCCAGCGACGCCTCGCTGCTGACTCCGGGGGCTCTGGTCAGGCCCTCGCTGCTGCTGCTGCGCCCCCCGGCCCCCAGGCTGGCACAGAGGGCGCGCTCTTCTGACAACAGGGAAGACGAGGGCAGCTGACCACAGGTCTCCCCCGCAAGGACTCCCCAGGGCCCTGCACCCCCGCCTCCCATCAGCTCCTCAAATAGCTCCCTGTTCTCCGAGGCCCGGCTCAAGCCCTCCAGCCCTAACACGTGCACAGGAGTTTTGCCTGTTCCGTTCGCTGATAAATGCAAGCACCCATGTAGGGCAGCCCGGCCCACCCCTGCGGGATCCTTCACCCCTGCTCTCTACTGGCTGGACCCGCCACAGTCCGTGTCCCCGCTGGAGGGTGGGGGCCGTGCCCAGGAACGGCCACTCCAGCGGAGCCCCCAGCCGGGCGGGGCCGGGCACACTCACCCCGGCTGCCACTGCTGCTGCTCTCCACGTCGCGGTCATTGATCGGGGAGGTGACGTCCCTGTAGCAGAGGCCTCCCGCTGCCAGCGGGTTCTCGTCGCTGCTGTTGAAGGTGACGTAGCCCGGCAGAGGCACCTGCTCTGTAGACAGAATGGGGCGTGTAAACCCACAGGAGCACAAAAGAGACGACTTCCTCCTAACAAATTCAGCCTCCGCAGAGGAATTTCAGCGGGAGGGAAAGCCCGGGATTCAGGCAAGCGGAAAGTTCCGTCTAAATGGCCGTTCCCCTGTCAGCACCCCGCGGCATGCTCTGCAGGTGAGGAAAGACGGGCGTGGGGACCAGTCTGTCCGGGCAAGGGCAAGGACACGCCGTCGGGCCCAGTCCGACCTGCCGCCCCCTCCATCACCCCCTGTGCTGCCTTTCCAAGTGGACAGAGCAGGACACGGTGAGCTGTGCTTACAGCTTCCTGAGCCAAAGGCAAACCAGACACTAAGTACTCCTCACAGCTGGGAACAAAACCTCACACACACCGGCCTTCACGCCCCCTGCGACTTTTCAACACAGACATGTAGGGGTGCGGCTCGTCAGCTGAGTCAGCCCCAGCCAAAGAGATCTGGCTGAGCAGGGAGGCGGAGGCCCCCGGCTGAAGACCAACAGCAGTAACACCAAGTTTACATGACCTCTGGACGCATCTGCCTGCACGAGAATGTTTCTGATCACCGGCAAAGAGGATACAGGCACATACAGAGAATTTAAATATCACGAGGTGTAAGGAAATGGCACAACTAAGGAACAACATCATTCTTAGGTAAATGTTTTTCTGCCTCTGTGGGTGCATAAAAAGATGCGTATAAATGGGCTTCGGCCAGATTATTTGGTAACTCCGACGAATCCCATTTTCAAAAGCACCTGTTGTACAGCAACACAGGTTATAACCATCCCCCACCCTGGGTAGGACCCGACCTTCCCGCCTCCCCGCCATACCTCAGGTGGGCCGACAGCATGGACTCCGTGCTACAGAAGCACCCAGCCAAATACCCCGGAGCTATGGGCTCACAAGCGTGCTCCACGGAGGAAGAGGCAGGGGGTCACCCTGCAGCGGCCTGACCACAGCTGGGGGCACCTTCTCCAGTGGCCCAGTCAGCCCACCCCTCTGTGGCTGATGGGAAAAGGTGGGCCTAGAGCTCTCAACCCAGCGCTAAAGGTCATGGGAGGCAATGGAGTCTTGTGTATTCTTGACCGAAGCAAGGTCTCCTGTGACTGGGAAAGTCGGTTTCTAAGCCCGGGGACACTCGCTCACAAGATGGGCCCATCCACCCAGCTTGCTAGACCAGCAGGACTGACCTGGCCACTGCTGGGTGACAGACATCAAATAAGATGTAACTCTCACCTAAGACTGATCACTTGGTCAGGCCACAGCGAGTGTCAACGCCCCTGCGCCCCCAAGAGCACTGCGCTCCCCACGAGGCGCTGCCGACAGGAGAGAAAACGCACTACTAGCGCACTAAGTGTACCGCCCCAAACCGCTCCAGTCTAGCACGGGGAGAAACCGCCTGCCCCGAAACACAGCCACCTCCAGCTGGTGAAGGGCACGGAGTCCAGGCTTCAACGTTTTCTCTGCACTAGCTGATAAAGGAAACCCCAGCTTCACTGTATTTCCACTGCTGGAGAGAAAGTTCTATTTTGTAACGTAACCCCTGGAAAGGAAGATCAAAGGATGAACCCAGAAGCTAGCCAGTGATCAGTGTCTTCCTATCCCTGTAATCAGTTCTGATCTGTGAGCCGCAGCCCCCAGGGCCCGCATTCCGAGGGCCGAGAACTGCTCGGTCTCCTCAGGCGGGCATCTCAGGATGCACCGCCAAGGAGCCAGCAGGAGGAGCCAGAAGGAGGTGGGAGCACTCACCACGGCAAGGCTGCTGCATCTTGCCCCCAAGTCCAATGGCTGTGATCCTGGCCAAGGCTCGAGGCCCCTCATGGATGCTGAGGCCCTTCTTCCGACAGGGCCTCTGTCTCTGCGGAATGGGGCAGGATTCATCCGAAGAGCTTAGGTCTTCAAATTTGTCTGCAGGTCAAACATCAGAATGGGGACATTTTGTTCAGTGATGGACTAATTTAGTAATCTTCATAGTACGTGGGAATAAAATCATAATTGGTTTTCTCACGTTAAGAAGAGAAAACTGTGTTTCCCAGGACACCACTCGAAAGCAGTACCACAGTGGGCCAGTCCACCGTTCAGAGGGCCGCGGGGAAATGGGGGAGGAAGCAAGCTCGCTGAGCCGGAGTCTCAACTGACAAGGTCTGTCACGATGGGGCAGTCTTAACTCTGACTCCGCTCTGGATTCCAGAATTTTTTATAATAAGTATGTACATTTAAAAACCAGAACTAAATTTTGATCCGAGATGATAAATAAGATCCGTCTGGTCATAGACGTAGAGGATATCAGTCATAATTTCCTAACAACTGTGCGTTCTCCCCCTGCACGTCCTGGGAAACCGGGGGCACGTGCCGGCCGCGCGCCGGGGCCGGGAAAACACCCCGCATGCCGCCCGTCACAGCAGAAGGGCTGGGCGCGCTCACGGTCCCTACCGTCTTAGAGCTTTTCACAGTTTTCTTTATTTCATCACACCTGGAAGGGAGCACTCACGACCAGATTTGTGTAAGGCTCGCATCTGGTGAGCCCTCACTCTCGGGTGGGTACACTGGGGCTCGGACGCCGAAGGAGCCCTTCATCCACTGCCCCCCGTGAGCTGGCGCCCGCCACCAGCGATCCCGAGGCAGGAAGGGAGCCAGGCCGCGGCGGGGGAGCAGCGCCCTGGCGCGACAGCCCAGGTCAGTGACCACCTGGCGAGTGAGGGCGTCACTGAGGCAGGTTCCAAACATGGCCGGTGACCCTCTCTTCCCCACCCAGCTCGCTCCCATGTGCTCCAGGATCTACGCTGCCGGGAGGAAACTGTGCTCCCGCCCAGGCAGAAGACGGCGGACTCGTCAAGAGTAAAAGGACGAGGGAAAAGGGGTCACTAAGGCAAAGGCGGCTCCGTGAATCTGAACCTCCCAGCACATCCTCTCGAACCTGACAAGTGAGCAAGGACAACAGACACAGCCACACGAATCCCACCCCATCCACAGAAGTGGGACGACAGAGCACACCCCCGGCGCCTGTTCCTCGCTCCCATGGAGACGTGACACGTCCATTTCTCTTCTCGCAGAGAGACTTCTTGCTCACACACATCCAGTCTCCGAGAAGAGCAGGCAGGTCTAGAATAAAGCCACACTTGAAGCGAGACGAGGGATAAGACGTGCCAGTGTTGCCCCCAGAAAAGTCCATTCTGTGACAGAGAAAGCATCCCAGCAGAGGGAAGCACAACCCCAGAGCAGCAACTTAAAAATGCACATGGGACATGGAGCAGGACAGCCCCACTCCCGGAAGACCCCTCGTGGCAACTGAGCGTGAACAGGAGAAGCAAGCGGGGGACCTCCAGGATCGGGCAAGACAAAACCGTATCAAGGACAGACACATCAGGCTTGGCCTCACCATGTCCCCCTCCAGCCATCTCCAGGGAGGACACAGGAACCGGGGACCAAACACTGCAGTGAGTGAAGACGCACCTCCCTGCGAACCACCACCACCGAAGAGGGAGAAGAGAGCGCGATACTCCACATGGGCACACCTTAAGCACGGAAGAGTGAAAAAAGCGTCCTGATTCAAAAATCCAGAACGGAGAACAAAGAGAGACAGGCACGCACTCACGACGGTGAGAAAGGGAAATGGAACTCAGGAAAGAGGGAGAAAACAAAGGCCAGCTGGGCACCTGGCTGGCTCAGTCAGTGGAGTGGGCGACTCCTGACCTCAGGGTTGTGAGTTCAAGCCCTGTGTTGGGCTCGGAGAGGACTTACAAATAGAATATTTAAAAAAACAAAACAAAGCAAAAGAAAGGTCAGATTTTTAAAATGAAGACCCACGGGGCGCCTGGGTGGCTCAGCAGGTTAAGCCTCTGCCTTCGGCTCAGGTCATGATCTCAGGGTCCTGGGATCGAGCCCCGCATCGGGCTCTCTGCTCAGCAGGGGGCCTGCTTCCCTTCCTCTCTCTCTGCCTGCCTCTCTGCCTACTTGTGATCTGTCTGTCAAATAAATAAATAAAATCTTTAAATAAAATAAAATGAAGACTCGGTCATGAGGTGCCCAAAGCAGAACAGATTTGAGTGTCGGGGCGCCTGGGTGGCTCAATCGTTAAGCCTCTGCCTTTGGCTCAGGTCGTGATCCCAGGGTCCTGGGATCAACCCTACATCCCGCTCCCTGCTCAGCGGGAGCCTGCTCTCCCATTCCTCCTACTTGTGTTACCTCCTTGCTGTCTCTCTGTCAAATAAATAAATCTCTTTTTAAAAAATATTTTATTTGCATGGAAAAGCAGTACTGTAGGAAAGTGAGAAAACCACTAAAGACTGAACAAGAAAGAGGAGAGAGGACTGAGTCAGGAGGCAGGTAAAAAACCGAATTGACACAGGAAAATAACTACTGGAACTTTTTAGGAGACAGAAACGGTTTTGCAGACCTCTATGCGAGCTGAAGTTTGAAATCCCAGAGGAAGGGATTTCCTAGGAAAATGCAGTTTACCAAACCTGGCCCCTGGGAAATGAGAAGGCTTAAGCGGACCAATTTCTATAGAAGAAACAGAAAAACTTACCACAAAGAAAGAACAGATCCAGAGGGTTTCACAGGAGATCCTGCCAAACCTTTAATATAGGGCACCTATGCTGCATAAATTGTTCCAGAGCACAAAAAAGGAAGGAAAACTCAAATTCTCTGTATGAGGTACACCGATGCCTACACCTGATAAAACAGAATCACAAACCAGTATCATTTATAACTGAATAGCCAGACAGAAAAACTAAGTAAAATACTGGCAAACAATCAACATCACATTAAGAAAATGATATACCACGTGGGATTTAAACGAACGATGTAAACTTGGTTCATTATTAGGAAATTCACTAATACACTCTATTAGGAGATCTAAAGAGAAAATTAACAATCTTCTTCATAGATGCTGAAAAAGCCTTTGACAAAATTCTACACTTATTCCTGTAAAAAACAGGAATACAGAAAACGTCAGATACTATCTTAACACGAGAGAATACATGCATACCTTACCCTCCAAGCCAGCATCTCACCCACGGTGGCATTTCCGCTAAGGTCAGGACCAGGTGAATTCCCACTGTCCCCACACAATCAACCACTTACGAGAATCCTGGCCCATGCAACTAAATGAAAGAAATCAGAGGTACACAAATCAGAAAGAAGCAGTGAATCTATCTCTATGGGCAGACTGTATGGTAGCATACCTGGAAAAGCCTGGAAAATCAATCAATTCAAGCAATGACAGAATTCAGCAGAACAGAATATGGAACTGGCATGCTGACGCCAACAGCCTGCATCCTCACAAATAGGCAGGCGGAGCATATGAAGGCCGTGAAACCCCATTTACAAGAGCAACAAAGAAAGACACTTAGGAAGAAAAAGTTAAACGCACAATGTCTAGGAGGAAAATTTTTAACCCTCCCACAGACACAAAAGTACACTTGAACTAAAGACATCCTTGTATTACAGAGGATGGCTCAGAATCATAAAACGGGTTATTGATTTGCAAATCTGCCACAGTCCCAACAACACGCTGTTCCTAAGCAGCTAGACAAGTTGATGTTCAAGTTGACACAGAAAAATACACGAGCGATATACTAGGGAACACTGGAAAGGGAAAGCTGCAGGGAGTCAGCCGTGTGGGTCTGGTGTGTGGACAGACCCGGAGAACAGGAGAGCAAGCCCAGAAGCAGACCTGGGCACAGACGGAAACTCAGAGTCCATGACAAAGCCTCTCAGATCACGAGGTCGGAGATGGGACTGTTACACGGTGTAACGAAGCCAGGACACCGGGGCAGCCATCAGAACGCCACACTCGCGCCACACATGACAAGAAAGTACACAGGGTCAGAGAGCTAAACGTCAAAAACGAAACCAGGTAAGAACCAGGAAAAAACGAGCAAATTCTTGGACAACCAGGAAACGGAAAGATCTTCTGTGACTGGCCCAAATCTAAAAGCAAGAAAGACGGATGAATCGGACTATATAAAGTTAAAATATCCCGTGTGGTAATGAGCGCCACAGGCAACGTCAAGGAGCGGCAGGTGTGAGGCACCCGGCCGGGGGCTGCCGGTCCGCGTCTCCCGGAGCGCCGCGGGCGAGCTGGGCACCTCCGGCCTGGCCGCTGCCGCTCCGCGCTAACGGGCCTGTCTCCTATCGGACCAGCACGCCTCAGCCTTCACGGCACAGCGGAGTCACGGGGGAGGCAGGCGTCTCTTGGCAAGGCTGCAGGGGCCAAATCTCAGGGGCGGGGGGCGGTCGGCAGGGGACCCGGCGGCGCCGCAGCACGTACCTGGGCTCCGATAGACGTTCTTGGGCAGAGCAGGCGAGTGAGCGTCTATCAGCCCCACGATCTTCATGTGTCCGTACTGCTTGGCCAGCATCCGGGCTGTGGCCCCGCTGTGGTCTCTTGTGTCCACTCTCACTCCCTGTGAACGTTCACAGAGGTTCAGGACCCAGGACCTTCCCCTGCAAAGCACTCTCCTTGCCCAGGTGCGGGCTCCGGACCCCAGCTAAGACGCGCCCGGGCTGCTCACCGCAGGAAAGGTCGGCACCCAGGCCCTCGGCAACCCCCCGTCTGCGCCAGAAAGGGGAAGGCCTGGGAGGCCCTCGCTGTCCTTTAGGACGAGGTGGGGGCCGCTGGAGAGGGGCCTGCTGGTGGCAGTCCAGCCATCTGGTGGCTGCGCGGCTCCCCGCCCCCGCCCCGCAGGCAGATCCTTGAGGGTGAGGCAGTCCCCGGCTCCAGGCAGGGGACGCGCACTGCAGACCGCTGGGGCCACAGCCCAGCCTTCACCCTTCGCACTTGGGCAGGCCCGCCCGCCTCACGGCTCCGAGAGAGAAAGCCGGGACCGCAGAGGCACGAGAGCAGCAGCCTTTCAACATCCCGACCACAGCGAGAGCAGCACCCTTCTAAGAAGAGTCCCGTCATTTTTACCCAAAGCCCGAAACTACTTCTCTTCCGCACGGTAATTCCACTTCTGTGGTTCTCTCCTGAGGAAATAACCCCAAAAAACAGAGACTGCTTCAGTGACACAGGCGCTCGGGAGAGAACCCGGAGACCGTGTACCTGGGGGTGAGGCCGCCATGTCATTGCCATAAGTGCTGGTGCTCACAAGTAACTGGTATAACCAAGGTTTTGAAAGGACCATATGTCTTTATGACACATAAGGTACAAAGTGTCTTTTGAGGAACAGCAGATGATGTGGACATATGGGGAGGAACGGAATAAAAAGACAGAGGCAGAGACTGGAGCGATGCGTCCACGAGCCAAGAAGCAGCGGAAGCCAAACGCACATATTCCTCCCAAAGCCTCTGGAGGGAGTGTGGCCCTGCTGGTGCCTTGGTTCTGGTCTTCTGGCGTCCAGAACTGTTGGAAAATAATTTTGAGTGTTTTAAGTCCGCCAGCTTCACGGTACACTGGTAAAAGCAGCCACAGGAAACTCCCGCACGCACTAATGCGTGAATGGCTACTTCAGGCGGACCAATACGATCAAGCACTGGGTGGGAGACTGAGGCCGGCTTCTCCGACTACCGTGGAAATACGTCTGTGCTGTTTTGCTCACATTTAAAAACACACTGCAGAGGCAGATGTATCGATTTATGCAGCAGGATTCTGCTGAATTATTTATTTGCAGGATTCCATTTATGCAGAAACCTAATCATAGCTGTTAGCGCTGGGGGGCAAGAGGAGACAGTGCAAGAAAACTTAGAGGTTTTTTAATGCTTATTTCTAAATTTTTGGATTAATTATCCTCTAAATTTCATTGTTTCAACATAGCGCTTACTTGAAGATAAACTTTACTGCTAAAAAATGCTATCATCTGACTTCTCAGTAAGTCATGATCACTGATCACAGCCACCATAACAAATATGACAATAGGGGCCCTGGGTGGCTCAGTGGATTAAGGGCCTGCCTTGGCTCAGGTCATGATCCCGGGATCCCAGGGATTGAGCTGGGTTGGGCTCTCTGCTCAGGAGGGAGCCTGCTTCTGCATCTTCCTCTTCCTCTGCCCCTTCCCTCAACTCAGGCACTCTCTCTGCTCCTTCTCAAATAAATCAATAAAATCTTTTAAAAAAAGATAATAGAAAGTTTGAGCTATTGCAACAATTACCAAAATGTGACACAGAGACACGAAGTGAGTGAAAGGTGTTGGGAAAACAGCCCCCACAGACTTGTTCAACACAAGGTCTCCACAAACCTTCCATCTGTAAAAAAACGCAGCATCTGTGAATGCGATAAAGTGAAGCACGAGAAGGTGAAGCGTGCCTGTACGCATTCGTAAGTTATAGGAGGATTTCCCTATAATACTGCTATTACTGAGGGTGTAAGAGAGGTTTTATATTTTAAATATTTCTCAGAGCTAACTAGTTGATACCCTTTCATAGGTTCATGGGAAGGCACAAGGAAGTTATTAAATCACTGTTTACAAAGGAAAAAATTTGTAACTATGAGAGGTGACGGATGTTCAGTAAACTTACTATGGTATTCATTTCACAATGTATACTAAATTCAAATCATGCTGTGCACCTTAAAATTATACAACGTTAAATGTCGACTGTATCTCAGGAAAACTGGAAAAAGTATTTCAAAAATAAAAGATGCGAAAAAAAGACCATGATACAAAACAGTACGGATCTTACAACAGCAACAAAACGAGACAAACAAAAGTGTGTCTAACACTGGAAGAAAGCATGCCCAAACTATTATTTCTAAGCAGTAGGATGGGGGATTTCCCCCATCTTCCTAATCTTCTGTATTCTCTGAATTCACGACGAGCACACTTACTTTGAAAGTGGAAAAGACAATAAACAACATTTTAGAAGCTTCAACCAGGCAGTGTGGGGTCTGAGGGCGGGACCACCGGAGCTCAGTGCTCTGGAGGGCAAACCAGCAAACCCTGACCGTGCACACACCCACTGACCCAGCAATTCCACTCCTAGGGATTTAACCTAGTGTAAACACTACATACACTAACAGTTAGGATTTTCCCACCAGCGTTTAGTACGGTGAGAATCAGGAAAAGGGTAAAATCAGGTATTAGTGAAATAGGACGGACCACATCTATAGAGTGGAACGCTACCCCCTACTCTGGGACAGGTCCAGCCAAGGGCGTTTACTAATGTAAACGGGGTGCACGGGACATCGTTAAGAGGAAAGAAAGCAGCACACAAAACATTCTGTATAATGGGACTCCACTCCGACTTAAAATATCCGTTAAAAACCCAGGCGGATACCCGACAAGGTGTTAACTGTGCTATCTCTGGGTGATGGGATTAGGAGTACTTCTGGCTTTCTTGTGGCTTCACTGTACTTTCTGATTCTTTTATAGCAGATACAGATCACTGTATAATAAACATTTACTTAGGCACGCTTTCCCCCTATTTGGAAACTTATGATCAACTGACAGTTTTGGCTGAGGCTAGTATAGAAGGTGATTATCTCATGTGCTCTAGTAGGAAAAAAACTGCATCTTTACAAGACCTTAACTGAGTTCTACTTTCTATAATCCCCCATTTTGAAGAGCTCTGGTTAGAAATCAGCTCTGAAACCTTCAGCCTGGGGCGCCTGGGTAGCTCAGTGGGTTAAGCCTCTGCCTTCAGCTCAGGTCATGATCCCAGAGTTCTGGGATTGAGCCCTGCACTGGGATCTCTGCTCAGAGGGGAGCCTGCTTCCCCTCTCTCTCTTTGCCTGCCTCTCTGCCTGCTTGTGATCTCTGCCTGTCAAATAAATAAATAAAATCTTAAAACAAAACAAAAAAACCCTTCAGCCTTCAAAGGTCACTTTTAGAGGGGTCTGGAAGGGGAAAATGAAAGCAGTCAAAAGGCACAAATTTGGGGTGCCTGCGTGCCTCAGTGGGTAAAAGCCTCTGCCTTCAGCTCGGGTCATGATCCCGGGGTCTTGGGATCGAGCCCCACATTGGGATCTCTGCTCGGCGGGGAGCCTGCTTCCCCCTCTCTCTCTGCCTGCTTGTGATCTCTGTCTCTGTCAAATAACTAACTAAATAAATCTTAAAACACACACACACACACACACACACACACACACACACACACTTCCAGCTGTAAGATACCACATGATGACTGCGGCGAGCACGGCCACGTGACAATTATGGAAGTCGTTTGGAGAGTAAATCCTGAACGGGCCGTGGCCAGAGACAGAAACGCTCAGTCACAGGCCGGGTGAGCTTGGAGCGCAGCTGGAGACCAGGGAGACGGGAGGGGTTGACGGCCTTTCTCTGCGGGCCCACTGAACAGTGGGGCCCTGAGCTTGAGGCTCCAGCAGGCAGGAGATAGGGAGGCCGCCATCTTCATTCCTGGCCTCCAGAGCTCTACGGAAAGCGCTCAGGGAACAAAAGCTCCCGAGAGCGAACCCAGCAGATTACTTAGCCTGGTAGCTGGCAAGAGCGGTGCAATTCCGCCTCGGGCAAAGACATTTGAGAATCACTCCAATGGGCCCCTCTCCCAGATTAGCAAGACCATCCGGCCAAGACCAAGTTCACTGATCAGTGAGAACTACGGAACTCCAGAGATAGGGGAAAGCAACACACAAACTTCACGGCTTTCTTTCAATGATCCTTTAGTCTTTCCCCTCCAAGTACTAACCAGGCCCGACCCTGCTTAGCTTCCGAGATCAGACGAGATTGGGCACGTTCAGGGTGCTATGGCCATAGACGATCCTTTAGTCTTTCAAGGTTAAATTTTTAAATTTTTATTTTTTCTTAATCTTTAAAAAAATTTTTTCCTCTTTCCTATTTTAACTTTTAAAAAACCATTTTATCTTATCAATACCTTTTTAAAAATCTTTTTTTATTAAAGTCATATTTTATCCCTTCATTGTATTTAACTTTATTTTCTATATACGTACAGGTTTTTTTTCCTTAAAAATTTGGGATACAGGGGCGCCTGGGTGGCTCAGTGGGTTAAAGCCTCTGCCTTCGGCTCAGGTCATGATCCCAGGGTCCTGGGATCGAGTCCCGCATCAGGCTCTCTGCTCAGCAGGGAGCCTGCTTCCTCTTCTCTCTGCCTGCCTCTCTGCTTACTTGTGATCTCTGTCAAATAAATAAATAAAATCTTTAAAAAAATAATAACATGTCAGAACTAGAGTTCAGAATGACGATTATCAAGGTGCTAGCTGGGCTTGAAAAAAGCATGGAAGGTATTAGAGAATCCCATGCCTTTTTTTTTTTTTAAATTTACTTATCTGTCAGAGAGAGCACAAGCAGGGGGCCAGCAGGCAGAGGGAGAGGCAACCAGAGGGAGAAGCAGGCTCCCTGATGAGCAAGGAGACTGATGCAGGACTTGATCCCAGGACCCTGGGATCATGACCTGAGCCGAAGGCAGACGCTTAACTGACTGAGCCACCTAGGTGTCCCAAGAATCCCTTTCTAGAGAAATAAAAGAACTAAAATCTAACTAAGCTGAAATCAAA